GGGACCTCGCATGGTTCGTGCTCGGGCCCTAAAAATAATCCTTACAGTTTCAATAGGGACCTCGCACGGTTCGTGCTCGGGCCCTAAAAATAATCCTTACAGTTTCAATAGGGACCTCGCACGGTTCGTGCTTGGGCCCTAAAATTAAAAAAAAAAAAATCTCTTCAGTTTCAATAATCCTTACACTTTCAATAGGGACCTCGCACGGTTCGTGCTTGGGCCCTAAAATAAAGAAAAAAGAAAATCTCTTCAGTTTCAATAGGGACCTCGCATGGTTCGTGCTCGGGCCCTAAAAAAAAAGTCAATTGCAGTGGGAGTTTACCTGAGTTTCAGCATGTTGTGTGAAGCTGTCTGCCGTTGTTTCAGTCTCTGTGTGTCCGATTATGCTCACTCATGAGTTTGAGCACGCGTTCGAGCACACACCAGGTTGCAATCTCAGAAAACGGCACCTCTAGTGGCCACTGAAAACTACTTATAGCCCCTTTAATGACACACTGATTCTACTTCTCACTTGATTTATTACTATTTTCTCAGACGATAAAGCAGTGTATGCTTTAGCGCAGGACTACCTTGTGATTGACAATTCGCTACCATTACGGCCTGTCAATCAGGATAACTAGCCCTGTTGAAAAAGCTTATTAGGAGTCGGCTGTTAATTTTTCCACTAAGTACATTTTGTTTCATGCCAGTTTTTTGCTAGCCAAAATTAGCATCCCGGTTAATATACACAGTTAGCATGAATTTTGGATGCACTTTGCTAACCAAGTTAGCTAGCACACCGTCATGTCCAAATATTGTCACTTACGGTGTCTGGTTGCAAAAAATCAAGATGGCAACGGCCAAAATGCCAAACTGGAGGCTTCAAAATGGTGGTCCATAAACCAAAGGGTAACATCACAGTGACTACCTTCTCTTTTTTTATACAGTCAATGGGTTTACTCCTGGTCAAAAAAAACTTTGTAACTAGAGTGACAAACAGACAAGACAACAACCCGCTATGCCAATGTTAGGATGGCAATATTTCCCCAGTAATAGAACTTTTTTTGGATTGATTGAACATTGATTTGCCGGTCCATTCAAAGAGACAGTTTAAGTTATTTTAAAAAACTAAAAGATTCTGGGCTTTTGAGAAAACATTTGGGGCTGAATCCACCCCCTCGCTCTGTTGTTGGCTCAGAACCACACCTACTGTGACTATATGTGCTTCAAAACATATAAGTCAAAGCAAAGCAAATAAAACCTTACAAGTGAATGCATCCAAATAACCATAAGAGAGGAAGATTTACTACAGAATGTCATGAGTTTTTTTTGTCACCACACTGACAAATACCTTGCTGTTGTGCTGACAGTGTTTTTTCAGTATTCTGCAATTTTATTTGCATTTTATTTATGTATTTTCAGTGATCTTTCTGCAGGTGAATTTTCTGCAGATTTCAATCAAATGATGCCTTTCTGGCAAAATAAGACTTCAGCACCGGAACACTCTGATGCTCTCTCAAAGATAACAAAAATCTTTGTCCCATTGTTGTGAAGCCTTTTCTTGGTACTGTCATATAATATGACATCTGAAATAATGACTCATCATATAAACAAAGGCACAGCAAAGAAAGGGTATCAGGGGCTTAGCAAAATTTCTCCTTTTATTTAAGAATTTTTATATCTAACAAAAATCAGTTCTGTCTGTTGCTAAATATTAATCCATTGCTAAACCTTAAACTACACAAGATGGGAACAAATTTCCTGTTCCTGTCCATCACTTTATTCAAAATCAGCTTTATTGCCACGTAGGTTTGCACAGACAAGATATTTGCTTTTGTGTTTTGGTGCTTAATAATGAACTAGTTGTGGTTGTGTTCGTTCCTGTCTAAAGCTTAGGATTTTGGTCAGCTCTGATACTGCTATTCCTGAGGATGCTGCAGCCAGGTGGTGACCCTGCATGCAGTACCTGGCACACAGCAGAGTGTGCGGAACTGCAGCCAAATCCCAGAGTCTGAGAGCTGCCCACACTGGCCAATCTGCCACCAGAGAGAATGAGCAGTGGACACTACAAATACTCGGGCCGGAATATAAAAAGCTAATTTGTGTCATAAGGAGGGATCACAATTTACATAAAAGAGAAATCATTGTATTAAACTGTATTATCTATAAACTGTTTCTGAGTATAGAAACAGTTAATACAATAACGTCACAGCATGCTATCAAAGAATTGTGAATTTTTCTGTTACAATTTCCCAGGTGGGCCATCACTTACTGATGACAGGCTAGCTTTAAAGTCTGTTGTTCTCATCACATTTAAAAATCTAAGCTCAACTTTTTTCAGCTGTTAGCTGTTGTTCACCTGTAATATGCACAAAAATATAAATATGAAACAGATATACAGAATCAGTAAAAACCTGTGAGGTACTACCAAACAAAGTCTATCATCTAGCAACTAAATAGACATTCTTCTATTGGATTGGTGGTGGGGGGGAATCATAATTTGCCTGTGTGTTTGCTGAATATACTGTGTTGAAATGGTTTTCCTGCACGGCATAAAAACTTTACTAGGCATATGTCAGAGCTGTGAGATCGTCAGCTAGAGTTTTTCTGCCCCCAAGTGACACCAGCATGATGGGTGTGATGCTGCAATGTCATGGGGTCCTGGAGTACTCATGTAGATCACTGCAGCAAGGTGAGAAGTTAAACCACTGGAGGTCAGCAAAAACAAGATTTTCAATGGGTTTTAAGTTACTATTTAATATTCAATTTGATTATCTCAGCCTTCCATTAACCCCCCTTTTATCCCAGCTTTATTGATGAATAAATCTGGTTTACTGACAGCAATGTTTGATACACAGCAACCCAGAAACCCAGAAAGAATGCCTCAAAATCCTGTTGCACAATATGTCTAAAATCTAAAAGCTGCTTTCTGATTGGCCACATTTTCAAGGGTTTGAATCCCCTTTGTGACCTTTGGGAAATGTCATCACCACTCTGTCTCCAGTCTTCTGCTTTACTTTCCATTTTACATCATCTATAATAGGAAGCCATAAAAATAATCTTTACTATCAGGGCCAGTGAGAGGGGAGAATCACCACCTCATTACCACTCCTGTCTGAGGGGCTGATTATGGGATGGAAGGAGCCCGGCAACAGAGCTGAGCCTGGGGCGTCCCAGTGGCTCAGTCTGCTAATAGCTGCATGGGTTTGAATTGCAGCTCATTCCACACTGTTGCATCTCTCTCCCTTCCTCTTTACTTTTCAATAAAAAGACCAAAAAGCTGGTTGAATCTAGCAATGAGAGCAGTCGAATCTTACTCATTTATGCCCTGCTACACCTCCCTGGATTCTTTTAATGATCCCACATAGACAAAGCACTGTGATCCCACTGTCAAACACCCTGTGATGAAATAGACCATTGTGTGTGTCCTTGCCCCAATATGCTAATGCTGTATTAATTATGGGCCAACCCTAATGAGTATCTCTCTCGCCCTCTTAGATATGTAAATGTACCTGCAGTGGACAACAGTGAGACCCTTTTGTTAACTCTGTGCTCTATAAAAGAGGCAGGACAGGACAGTAAGAGACAAGGACAAAGGTTTAGTCGCCACAGATGATTTCAAATTTTATTATTGCTTGAACAAAACAAGGTATATTCTCATTGGGTCGATTCCTGGAAACCACTTTATACTTACAGTGAATTTGACTTGAGGGCATTTCACTTGTGTGAGTAAAGACAGGAAGCTGTGGATATTCTATTAAAAATGTTTCTGTACAAGTTACATAAAACTCATACAAACGGACCCAGATCCATTTGATATGGCAGTTGCCGGACTGTTCTCCATCAGTGGCTACGTGTATCCTTGACAGTAAGGGTGGTGAGTTGTTTTTCAGCCAATTAATCACACAGGAAGTGTGAATATGGGCAGTGCCAGAGGAAGTGTGCTCTTGTGACATTTTCATCCTCTATTTGAAAGGTGAACGACAAAGAGAGGGAGAGTGAAAGACTTGTGGCAGAGGGGAAAGATTTTCAGCTTTGTAGTTTACCATAAAAAAAAGAAAACATGCTTTTTTCAAGATCAGGACATGCTGGCAAAAAGTCAGATTCTTATGCATTACAGATGCATTTTAACATTGTACAACTTGTCTGGAGCTGACGTATAGGGCCAGTTAAAAACCATGTAGCCTATAAGTTATTAAAATTAAAGATTACTGAAAGTCAAACTTATCCCCAAGCTAGATGAAGTGAAACTTCTCAGCAGTGGTGGAACAAGATGTGAATATTTTCAGATCCTTTTCAGTGCATATGTAAAAGTGCCAATACAACGTAACGTAAACGTAAACATACTCGATTATGAGTAAATGTTCCTGTATTCAAAATATTATTTTGAGTAAAACTGCAGAAGTATCAGCAGCAACATGCACTTAAAGTTTTATTAGCAACAACTACAACTGATATGTATTACATTATTAGATTAGCAGTACTTATGTCTCAATGTGTAAGCTGAATTTTAGTGTAGTTGCAGGTGGAGGTAAAGCTAGTTTTAACAACTTTATATTTCTATCTTACCTTAATCTAATCTTTGATTGTTTACCTCTTTGAGCCTCCGATTGTTGTGATTGTGTAGCCTACTCACTTTAAATTGAGCCACCTTTAATTTCACACATGATTCTTAGTAGGCTATGAGTTACGAGCTATGAGTCTTATTGTACACTGTGCTGTCGCAGCTACTTGCTGCGATTTACTTTTATTATGTAGCCTATATTGTTGTTACTTGCCAACACTGAAAATCAATTTCATTTGGGACAATCAAAGGACGGACTCAACAATAGGAATACCTGCACAACATAATGCAATCTAAATTCACGTGTTTTAGCAGGGCTTGCAGAGTCTCATCTGCTACGAGCTTCACCACACGAAGAAGCTGCGTCGTTCTTCTTGTGTTCCTCTTGAGTTTGTGTCCAAGGTGCTGAAATCTGCTGCTCCGGGGACAGGTCACGTGATTGCGCTACTTCCCTCTGTGAGTGATGCCGTGAGTGTTTGTGTGCGCCCGCGCGGTTGTGTGCGCGTGTGTAGGCTATGCACGGGGACACCTCTGTCCTCATCATGAGCGATTTGGGTTCGCGAGAAAGGCTTTTCTAGGACGGAGTCTGCTGTAGTAGCCTATGCTCGCAACGTGGGATTTGTGCAATTGAATGGTAACTTTGTCTCTTTGCGTGCATCTTTTTTTTCTTCTTCTTTTCTTTCGCCGTCACAGACATTAGTGTGGTAACTGTAACTGTGGAGGGGCGCACAGGAGTGGGCTGCTGCCCACCAAGTCTGACTGTGTTTCGGAGGTGCTGAGAAGAACATGTAAAAATATGTAAGCTTCGCCGCAGATCCTTTCGGATTCACAGCCAAAATGCAGAAAGGGATGAGGCTCAATGATGGCCATATCACCTATCTGGCTCTTTTGGCGAAGAAGGATGGGACGAGGCGAGGTTGCCTGAGTAAGAAAAGCTCCGACAACACAAAATGGCATTCAAAGTGGTTCGCTTTGTTGCAGAATATGCTGTTTTATTTCGAAAACGACTCCAGCTCACGCCCATCCGGACTGTACCTGTTGGAGGGATGTGTTTGTGACAGGGCACCGTCCCCGAAACCACCTCTCTCAGCAAAGGAATGCTTAGAGAAGCAGGTAAGATGCTGATCATACGGGAGCTCCCATAAGTCTAACACTGTCAAGGTAATCCGTCTCACTGAACGGACGCACTCATGCTCCCGAAGGCAGAAACTTGCTTTTATGTATTTGGCTGTCAGTTAAAGCAGTGTTTATGCGCGGAGCTGTTTTGTAAACGCAGCAGAATTGTGTAAAAACGACACAGTTGCTGTTTTTATCCCTATTTATCACGCAAACAATAATGTCCCAGAGATGTTCACTTGACGTTCAGTGTTACGTAATGGCGTCATTCTAACTGATTGATTGTCTTGATTCTGCACTAAAATAGCCTCGCAGCCTTCCTCAAAGGTAACCCTTCAAATGCAGGGGAAAAATAAACACCGGTTTACAGTTTCGGGATAAATGGAATTGTGCAAACTTTGCAAATACAGGAACTAGTTCACCTTCCCCCATTTCTCTTCTCGTTATCATCATATTCGTTGCAGCACATTTATCTTTAAAAAAGAGACTATATTTTTAGACATCTCAGTTGTTGAGGGATTGCAGGTCTTATACAGGGAGCAAACTTAAACATCATCCAAACTTTGCAGGTTGCCATCTTGCGGAGGAGAGCTGCCCCCTTCCCTGTCGTTTTGACGTATTGATTTAATTCCTTGTCTTGATATTAATAGCATCCTACCTTGGCAACTGCGTCTCCCCGGTTCATGGCGGCTTGGTTCATTTGATAGCTCGGTCATTACCGTGGGGTTGTTAACGACCGCAGTGAAAGAAAATCTAACGATGTCCCAGGCATGCAGTGCATATGGTAGCCTACAGTACATCCCCCATTCGTTTTAAATCCCTGAGCATTTAGTGCCATGGATTAACGTTTGAGGGCTACACAATTTCCAGAGTTTTTTTTTAATGCCAGTGTGACAGTCAGAAATAATCTCATGGTTACCTCTAGCGAAACAGTTTTGGAGGAGAATGCTGCTGCTGGGAAAATAAACCTTGTGGCATGAAAGCATTTAAGAGTAAGAGAAGTGGTCAAGCTGCTGTGAGCTATGACTGCAGTCACCTTCTGAAATCTGCTCCGCCAGCTGCAGTCTCTTCTGCTTTCCCTGCAGCAGAGCTTATAAAGAGCTGTATTCAAAAGTCAACGTGATGGGTCATTTGATCAAGCAACATACCAACTGTGCTGATAGAATAAATGAATGGCAACCAAGTTTCTTATTGAAAACTAGCACACACCATGTTTGTGTCCAGGCATTGGGGAGTTTTGTGTTCTTTAAAAATATTTTTTGGCATTTTATCCATGAAAGAAAGGACCCTGGCCACACTAGAACCAGGAATGCTGGGGATCACAGATCCCCACAGATCCCATAAGAAAAATATGGGTTCCCACATATGGGTTCCCACACTCACTGGTATCCAGAACAGGATTGTGTTACAGAAGATGTTTAAAATAACTCCAATGCATGATTTAAAGCTTTAAAAGCTGTCCAGTTTTAGATAACCACAATTCTGTATTCTTTTAGAAGAAAATCTTGATGTTCTGAGTCGTACAAGATATCTTACAGTAGTTTATGAGTTTGTTAAGCATCACAGTCCTGCATAATATTTAGAGTTAACTGTATTACCACTAGGGGAGAATTGTCTATAGCCAAATAAAGGACAGACGCCTGGGTAAATTAATTATGAGTGACTACATTTTACAGTGGCCCCTGCGGCTACTGGATGTGGCTGTTCCCATCAGCTGTACCTGGTGTCGCTGTCCATGGTGCTGATCCCTGCTGTCATGTCATGTTCCTCAAACACTTGCCCTCTGCTCTTTGTTGCCCCCCCCCCCCCCCCCTCTAATGCAGGTTTTGGAAGTTACAGCCCAAAGCTGGGAAAAAACAGTGGTTGTTTGTTCAAATACATTTTACTGACAAGCGATATCCTGCTGTCATGTGAACTTTGACTGTTCACTCTGGAGGAGAGTTTGACCCCCTTTTTTATTAGTTTTAGTTTCCTAAAAGTAACCAAACTAAACAGAGCAGATCAGAAAAATGCTCATATTTGTCATATTCATTGTTTTGGAAGGCTGTTTGTTTATGAGGATTTGTTGGTCACTCTCATGGCATAAACTATTAAACTTTGCTCACTGTCAAGCCTATTTCCTTAAAACCGTGACAGGACAAGAGACATGCTCTGTTCTGGGAATGATATTCTGGACTGAGTGACATCTACGATGACAGCTGTTCATGCAGGCTGCTCCGGTGAATTTATTTCAACAGTGAATTAAATGAATTTGAAAGCCTCCAATTAGCATAACACAGTTTTCTGTTCAGCCCATGTCCCTTTACATAATATGTGTCAAGAATAAATTCTCTCACTTTTGTGTGGAGGTGTGAAGTTTTGTGCGCACGTATATAAAATTTGGATGCGTACTTGTCAAATAAGTGCTTGTCATGCGCGAGAACTGCACATGTAGTGTGCAATCAATCATGTGAATGTACGTGTCTACATCTGTACATCTTGTGGGACTCTTTTTGGCTTGAAGTGTATATGTGCCTCGCTGTGTCCTCCTGCATGAGCCGATGTCAATCTATAAAAGGTGAAACGAGGACAGAAAGAGTAATCAATGTTGCAGGTGTCTGAGAGAATACAGATTTACTTTTCACTTTCCCCACTCTGGAAAAACAAAGAGTGACACCTGAGTCAGTGAGCAGACTGCAGGGTCGTCTGAGGTTATGTCACTGTAGATTTCTGACATTAAACCTGTTACATTATGCAGATTCAACAGATTCCAGATTTCTGGTGTTGAGCGCGTTAGTGGTGTGCGTGCATGTACTGTATGTCTGTGTGTGTATCAGAGCTGCAGGGGGAATGGCCGGGCAAGTGCTGGATCTTATCTGTGTGTGACAGGGAGAAGGACAATGCAGCGAATTGATGCCAAGCCAACTGCCACCTTGCAGGGCTACAGCGCTTTTTATAGCCCTCACTCCTCAAAAAGGCAAAAGATCTTTCCCTCCCTCCCTCTCCGTCTGTCTCTCCGTTTTCATTGTATTCTTTGGAGTGTTCTACTTTTTAAATGTTCTTATTCCCCATTTAGAAGGCGAGCTACGTTTAAGCCCACAGTTACTATGGCAACCCCTATTTGCATCTGAAAAAGTGCATTTGAAGGGACCAATGAAATGTGCAACAACATGCCTTGGCATTGTGCTTCACTTAGCAAGTACAGCAAATATGGGCATATGAGAAATGTGAGGTGAGTCGTCTTTAATGGTGATGGGAAAAGGTAGGAGGGAGGTGGGTGGAGTGGTGAAGTTGAAATACTTTGTTTTTACTATTTTATTTGTTTCAGTTATATTAACACATTTACCAAACAAGCGTCACTATCTTAGGAACTCCATTTTATCTAAATGTACACTTTATGAATGTATTGTATAATCTTGAAGCGTAGGTTATACAGTTTTTATATAAACAGCATGACTGGCCAGTTTAAAGTAATCATTATTTTCAACAATATCTGCATCCAGAAAATAGGCACCAAAGGACAATACCAGAGCAAGTGGGTCAGTGACTTGTATTGACTGGATGAATGTAACCATGCATCAATAGTGGTCTCTTTGCCAACATGGAGAATCAATATTCCAAATATAATTCCTGTTGTTTAGAAATGTGTGTTTGTTAATGCATTTTTCTTTTTATTATTGCTGTATTTCAATTTCAGTTAAACTATTTTCTTCCACTTGTGTTTTGTAGACATTGGCTTTACTTTCCTATTGTTTGGGGTCCGACAGACACCACCACTGTTTGTGTAATAATAACATTATTATTTAACAATTAATGCCTTAATAATTAAATAAATATTTAAAATAAAATATAATAATAAAATATTTTCTTTTCTTCTGACCTTACATGGAGAAAAGTATTGAAGTACTAACGCTTCCTTTTGCTTCAAAGTGGATTTTCACATTAAATGTGGGTGACAAAATAAGAAACTGACCATAAAGTTTTGTTATTATAACAAATAAGGGGGAAAATTACATGTTATAATGTGGAATTCAAAGAATCATTCGTGGTGAAAGAAATGTGCCGCATGTTATCCTGCAGTTCAACACTAACTTTTGAGAGATTTGGGAGGGGTCAGCACTGTCAGAAGGAATCACAGATAGCATGTAAAAATCCATTGTATTTAACTTTGTTTCATAGCTGTGGTCTAAACAAAAGTAATTTTCTGTAGCAGACTGAAACATTAAACATTAGAAAGTCATTTGTTCAGAATCATGTTTATTAGCAATTCTCCTAAAACTAGAAAAAGTCATGTATCAAGGTTATGAAACAATGTTAAGTAGTTTTTTGGTGTTGTCAACGAGGTCCCAGACAGAACATTAGGGTAGCTGTAAAAGGTTTATAGGTAATATGTATATATAGCTACCTTTATCATCAGCGTTACATAAGTAAATCTGTTCAGTCTTTTCTCTTTGTCTCTATTCCAGATGAAATTGGAATTCAGTAATTTTTGTTGATAGATTTTAAATAACCATTTACTACAGGCTACGGTGTTTCACTTACCGAGAGTTAATGTCTTTGTGACAAAAAATGGAGTGACGTGGAGCTAAATATAGCTGCCTAAAAGGCTTGACACACCAGCTCACAAGAAGGGGGAGATGGGAAGCATATTATTGACAAAGGCCCATTCTGCTGCTCATCAGGAAATATGGAACATTACTCCCCTTCACAAATGATTTGCTCTTGGCATTTGGGAGGGATAAAAAAATCCAATATATTGGATTTGTGGGGGTCTATTTACAATGCATCAGTGTTATATAATTTAATGCGTTTCTACCACTACAATTATTGCAATGACCACCACTTTGTTGATTTGAGGATTTTATCTGATAAGCCTATTAGAAAACAATCCAACATTAATTTGCCATAATTGCCAGAAGTGAACCTTTAAGGCTGCAGGGTCACTGGAGATAAATGGTGGAGGAGTGAAACGAGGTGAGGATGGAGAGGTGTGTGTGCCACTAAAATGCAGCGAAATCACAGGGACAAACGAAATCTAAACAAAACAAAACATGGCGTCAGTCGAGAGGCTTCCACCAATTCAGAGGTGAGTTGCCAGGTTACAGACAGAATGCACAAAGGCTTTATAATGAATCTCTCAAGACCTTTCCCTTAGGATCTCTCTCTCCCACTCATTCACACATATGGGAATGCATGTGTTTATACCGGTAACCATACAACTTCACTTTCAACAAAATGTAGATTTAAGAAAAAGTCGGTCACTGATGACGAATTAAGTGAGGTTTTCCCTTATATAGGTTGTCCTGCAGCTCATCGAAGAAACAGTCTTCATTTTTCACTTTGAAAGTCTTTAATATGTTCTGATTGCCTCATTATATGCTGAGCAAATATTTGACTCTTTCTAAAATGTTGCTTTCCAGTATTACTTCACTGTCACGTTCAGCCATGACAACCAGAAGGCTCTGGAGCTGCGAACAGAGGATGTCAAAGACTGTGATGAGTGGGTGGCGGCCATCACACAGGCCAGGTACCTCTCACACATGACCTTTCACCTACATATACAAAGTCAGCTGTGGATGTCCTGAAGAGGAGGATTTTGTTGAGAATATTTGTGAGTTTACCATCAGCCAATTCAATCAATCAGTGAAGTATATGTATAACCCTAACTCACGTCACCATAAGAATAAAGAATTTAAATCTAATAATGTTGTGCAAACCTTCCATGCAGCGTCAGTTTTTCAGAAATTGAAAGCATTGCAGATGCTTTGTCCATTGGAAATAATGACTTTGTTCTGTTTAACGTGGAACTTGCCCTTTTGTTGTGAAAGCCCTGTAAAACAGAGTACCGCCTCTTTTAAGACTACATCCTCCTGGATTATTACATGGAAGTGTGTGATTATTATAGTTTAGAAAACTATTAATATATAAATAAATATATAAATAAATGAAATCTAATGCATTATTAATAGACTTGCTGTAGGTGCCCTGAAATATATAATGAGCAAAATGGCCCTTTAAGATTCTGAGACAAAAGAGGGTCATGAAAGCAATACACTCACTCTAAATGTCAGGAGTGTGCATTTGTATGGCGAAAGGTCAATTGATTGGACTCATTGAAGATTACATTGATTAGTCAGCTCAGTCAAGGCAGCAGCGCTTACTGTACAAGAGTAAGCTGGCCTGTAAGCATGTAATACACAGCAGGGCAATGAAGATCTGTATTTACATATCATCATATTGCTTTTTATTTTTTAGAGGTTTCTGATGATCCAGATGCCATATTATGATACTTTGAATTTCTTCTTTACTACTTATTTATTTCAGCACATTTCAGGTTTAACTAGCTGTTTAGCGTAGAGTAATCAAATTAAACGAAAACCCATTGTTGACCTGGGTAATGTACAAATTCAATGCTCATGCAAAATCAGCCTTTACACTTGGTTTGCCAAGCCAGCAAGTATTTGAAGAATTGGTTGCGTAAGTGCCTGCGCTCTGTGCGGACATAAGGTCTGTGGTTAAAACATATGCTGATCAGAGGTCTGCTTTTGCTTTGATAAATCTAGGAGAGCTCGTGAAACATGCGTTAATGAGGTCCTTACAATGTCTGTGTGTGTGTGTTTGTATAGCTACAGGAACCTAGCTACAGAGCATGAGACCCTCATGCAGAAGTATCTCCATCTACTCCAAATAGTGGAGACGGAGAAAACGGTTGCCAAGCAACTTCGACAACAGATAGAGGATGGGGAAATCGAGATAGAGCGGCTAAAATCAGAGGTAACTTGCTTGTAATTTCATGCTAGTAATACCTGTGTGTATTTTTTATTTTTTGTCTTACTGTGGGGCACACAGAGAGAGAAAAGATGGAAGTGAAAGTAGTCAGGCAGAGTGTACAGTATAAAGACAGAACGGGGGCATAGGACAAAGGTCACGACCCAGATTCCAAACTACACTGTTGTGAGTTCATGGCGAGCGTCGTATCCTGCAGCGCCCCCCGAGATGTGCTTGTTAGAGACTCTGCAATACTGTTGAGTGTTTTGTATCCTAATTATTCAGTCTAAACTAGATCAAATGCACCTCTCTTTAATGTGCTAATGGCTTGCTGCAATTGAATGAATGTTTTCAATATTCATGAATCAGCTTCTATTGTACTTGATACTGCAGCCTGCACCACAAAATGATTATCAACTGTCTCACTTTTCGTGGCTAAAATGTGTAGTAGTAATGGATTTTGGGTTGTTTTGTTTAATTTCAGTCCTTTATTAAAAGCTGTTCTTGAGTATATTCTTATTCATACATTGTGTCATTCTAATGGGAATAAATGAAACAGAACTGAATTAAATAAAATAGGAAAGCTGGTACAGTTTGTTCATATATAAGTTCTTTGAAACCAGATAATGGACGGTAACAAAGTTGAACAATAACCAAATGAAATAGCATTGAATAAAACATTCATAATCATAATAAAAGCACAGAGTGGAGTAAGAAGACATGATATGACCAAGATCACGAGTAGGTTTTTAGCTGCATACTGTATGAGGTACTCATCTTAGCCCACTCAGTCAATGCAATGTTTGATTTGTGTTGAATTTCAGATAGCTGGACTGCTCAAGGACAATGAGAAGATCCAGTCAAATCCAGAGGTACCTCCCAGTGACGATGATACTGAGATTAAGAAGATCAAAAAGGTGAGATCTGACACCACATTTGTGCAGTGCAGTTTTAAAGGAGAAAGCCAGTCTCTCTATTTTCTTTATCAATCTACCGAAGAAGCTGCCTGCTCCTTATTAATAAAGCTGAAAAGTTTTGGAAAGCCAGTTAATTTAAAGCTGCGAAAGCTGAGGTGACTAACCTATAAATAATTATCACTTGATTCTCCCATTCCCCTCAGCGCTACGGAGCGTTTTAGTGTCTTTGAGCTCAATGCTTGTTTTTTCCCGCTCTGTAAATGCTCCGTATTTGTATAGCGCCTTTCTAGTCTTTTCGACCACTCAAAGCGCTTTTACACTACATCTTCATTCACCATTCACACACATTCATACAGTGAGCCTAAGAAACTAACCCTAACCCTAGCTTAAAGGAGAGAGAATATCCGACTTACCTTTTTCAGGTGAGCACAGCAGAAACGCGAATAAATGCTAATGTCTGCAATATGTAGCACGCTCTACATGGCAACTTTATATGGCAATGATGAGACAGTGTTGTGTTTACAGCTTACAAATAGCAACTAACACGATGACTCCCAAAACAGAGCTAGCTTTAGCTTGTCTTGGCTTGAAATCAGCTGCAAGATACGAATCTGACTGAGTCTGACACAAATCTCAACGCTCACTACCAAGAGGGATTATCTAGATCTTGCTGTTGCATTTTCATTGCTTCACATTATGTGACATTTTATAGGTGAAAAGTGACTGTGACACTTACCTAAATAGAAATTTACAAAATACTAAAAAGTTGTTTAATGAATGCTGATTAAATGTCACACAATGTTTTATTGTAGGATAAGCTGAATGACTAAAAGCAAAATTGCCTACTTCTCAGGCTAGTATAACCCTTCCTAAACATACTGGATAACCTCAGAAATGTATAGTCACCAATGCATGCATACACACATAGAAACATTAACTTTTAACTAACCTTTTTTATCACAGGTCCAGAGTTTCCTGCGTGGTTGGATTTGCCGCAGGAAGTGGAAAACGATCATCCAAGACTACATCCGTTCACCCCACGCTGAAAGCATGAGGAAGAGGAACCAGGTGGTGTTTAGCATGCTAGAGGCCGAGGCTGAATACGTCCAGCAACTCCACATCCTGGTCAACAACTTCCTGAGGCCTCTCCGCATGGCCGCCAGCTCCAAGAAGCCGCCCATCACTCACGATGATGTCAGCAGCATCTTCCTTAACAGGTGGCTGGTGTTGCCAATGCTTGTGAACAAGAGAGGGTGAAACAATAGCTCATGACCATCATTTTGCTTATGTGTTTTATCAGTGAGACCATCATGTTCCTCCATCAGATCTTCTACCAGGGCCTGAAGGCCAGGATAGCCAGTTGGCCGACACTGGTGCTGGGTAAGAGACAAACACAAGTATTGCAGGTATTTGAGATATCTACCAGTGAGACTTCTGCCGCTAACCCAGTATAATAGAGGTTGGCTTGTGGCACTCATAGCTGGGGTTGCAATAGTATGAGATTTATTCATGATACAATAACCATCTCAGAAAATATCGCAGTTACACGATATACAGTAATGTCCAGATCAGGCTGAACTCAGATCAGTACAAAAACAAATGTCCACTTTCTGATGTTACGTGGTTGAAGAAAGTATTACAAATATAGTGTATCTGACTCTTGAAAAAATGTTTTTAATGTTTTTAGCTCTTGCTCACTGGTTATGTGCGTCTTTAAGGATTAACAACGTATTGTGTGTATTTATAAAAATGTCTTCTTCTGTTTACAGCTGACCTGTTTGACATCTTGCTGCCCATGCTGAACATCTACCAGGAGTTTGTGAGGAATCACCAGTACAGCCTGCAGATCCTGGCCCACTGCAAACAGAACCGAGACTTCGACAAGCTGCTGAAGCAGTACGAGGCCAAACCTGACTGTGAGGAGAGGACACTCGAGACCTTCCTCACGTACCCCATGTTTCAGGTAACCTGTCAGGCTTACAGAGTGGATAGCTGCAACATTATCATGTAATCCGCACACAATTTCAGAAAGTATTCTGCAGCACAAATCAACATGTAATGTTTTCAAACAATGCCAAGATGCCTCATACTTCCATATTTTGTCAAAATCACAGTGTTGTCTGAGATATAACTTATGAGAGACCTTTATTATAGCGCTTTATAAGGTATAATTTATTTCATTTGTATTTGTTTATTGTTAGTGAAATGTATGCAGCTGGATTAAGGGTCTGATTTGGTCTAAACTGGACCGGTTATCTCTGGAACATGGCATTTAAGTATAAAAATGTTGACTGTTAGTCATGGCTCTCCCATCAGGGCAGCAAGTGTAAAATATAAATACCAAATTGCATCGATGGATTATCTTTTTAACTTTCATCATAATCAGATCAGTAATACTGCAGTTATGGACCTTATAAAATTTTAATATTGTAATCTCTAGTTATATTGTTTCTATTAGGCAAACAATGTATAATTTAAGTGTGAAAGTTTTTGAAAATGTGACTTTCGTGAGATGTCACCTTAGAAATTATGTGTTGGAATGAACATATTGTCCTGTTGTCCAGCAGTAGCACTTTTGCATGACAATCTGTGTTGAAATTCGGACTGAGGTTTTCAAAGCTACTTCAACAGCAGAACAATGACACCGAGACTCACGCTTGAAGTGAAAACATAAAAGTGGATGTTATGGTGATAAAGTCAATAGAGGGTTTCATGGAATATTTATTCAAAATGTTCTATGTTTCAACTGAATGTGGACAAAAGAGCCAGTGTTATAAGCTTTCTGGTAAAGGAGGGAATCAAAGTCATAGTTAAAGCGACACATTTTTATTAATTTCAAAGATGATCTTTCTGCCTTTCAGGCAAATCCTGGACACGTTTCGTGCCTAACTAGTTATCAGTATAAGACCATTCGAGAGTCGAGATGCTTGACACAGCTTTCTAAAAAGCTTTAAATCTCTTGACCTTTCCAAGTTTGATGCACACATTTTAACACTTCAATTAGTGGTACAAACATTTCTCTTTCTGTCTCAGATCCCTCGCTACATCCTGACATTGCATGAGTTGCTGGCTCATACTCCTCATGAGCATGTGGAGAGAAACAGTTTGGACTACGCCAAGTCAAAACTGGAGGAACTTTCCAGGTAGACTAGCCAGTCATTAAAGCAAATGAAAATGTGTTGTACGTTGTACTCAAAGAAACTTAGTGTGTGGTTCTAGAACTTTGTAGGATTTAAAGAAACTATTCATTGTATCATTGTTGTATCTGTCTGAATGGTGGACAGTGCTAACAGTAAACACGCAGATAGATACTGGGATATCTACTGTATCAGATTCATACAGTGATGAGTATTTTTTTGTCCTTTCAGAATCATGCATGATGAGGTGAGTGAGACGGAGAACATCAGGAAGAACCTAGCTATTGAGCGGATGATTGTGGAGGGTTGTGAAGTGCTGCTGGACACCAGTCAGACATTTGTTAGGCAAGGTAAGTTTGTTTCATCATCAGATTAAAACACTGACAGTGAAAATAGAAATTCCAATGAAACTGAAGTCATGAACAACAATTTTTATATTGGTTTGTTTGCGAACTGTATGGTCAGCGAATACAGCAATGACAACTGAGGGTAAACATTGTAGGAAACTGAAACACTTTATTTACACTGTAATCAATTATTCATTACACATGACTAATTGAAAAAGGTTAGCATGTTAGTAAGCCAACTAAGAACACACAACATGTAAATGAGACACTGAAACTTTGGAATTACCAGGAGTTGCACTTTCGGTAGAGGCTAACCTCCTCACCACAAGTCCCTGTGGACTTGTGGAAGTCACAAATCAGGCTGACGATTCAAATCATATCATTTATCAGTTCAGGTCAAAGATTCGTTGTCACTGACTATGTAGCTTGTACCCCTTTTTTTCCTAAGCTAAGTGGACACGTCACTATTCAAATGCACTTCAAGACGTACGTTAGTAGGTGAACACACCACTGTTCAAAGGCACTTCAGTGCGTATTTTAGGAAGTGAACACATCACAGTTCACAAGCGCTACAATAAGAACATCAGTAAGTGAATGCTTCATCGTTCATACTGCTGGTCCAAGCTGTCACGTTCAGAACTAGCCTATACAAGTACATGAAGTTAATAACTCAGCAGTATGTTATTTATAAGCAATTTGTCACATTATGATTATTTCTGTGGCTTTCACTGCCTTCCAATAGGCTTTTAAGTGAATCAAATCTGAGTTAACAACGCCACTCCCAATGAGATGGGCCTCACTGTAAAAAGCTACTAATTTGCTCAGTGACAATGGTGATTCAGTGTAATCAGTTCAGTGTAAAGAGTCATTGTTAAAGATTCATTTGCACATGTAACGAACACCTCGACAGTCTCCCAATTGAATGCAGAGAGACCAAGCTGATAATTTACCCACCATCTAACTCCTGGTAAGACTGTAACAGCAATTTGTTTACCGAATTTACAAATTGTAACCTGAACAAAACAATCTCATCAATGTAGCATGTTACTAAGTAGTAACTTGCAAACTAATCCTATGACTTTTAATCAACATTTTCTTTTGGATGTCATTAAAAACATTTGGAGTCATTTTGACAGTCATGGAAACTGTTGCATGAGTGATCATATAGGAATGACTTGCAAAGTCAAAACACAACTCCCACACAGTCTTAAATGTGCCAAACAATACACCATAGGGGCAGCTGTCATACTGACAAAAGTAGGAATGTATTATAATAAAATATTAATTCTTCAACATACATTGAACACCATCCTCACACATCCCTTCTGCACCCTTTTCTGTTGTAATGCATCACATATACATTTGGACCCAGATGTCCAACACCTTCCTCCATCTCTGCAGACATGTGAATAAAATCACTGATTACTGATGCACAAACACATGCCTGTTATATATTTTACTGTAGCTGCAAACAACAAAAGTTTTAACACACACAAACACACACACACACACACACACACACACACACACACACACACACATTTTACTCTCTAAATGTACAGATACAGTAGAAGTAAAACTTCTTTTAACTGGCCACACCTGATAATAAAAAAACTGAATTATGCCTAAGTCAGTATGAAAACCTGAGACCAAATTGTATGTGTTTTCTTGTGTGTGTTTGTCTGCATGATACTGACACTCCACAGGTTCTCTGATCCAAGTGCCAATGAGTGAGAAGGGGAAGATCACGAGAGGCCGACTGGGCTCGCTGTCTCTGAAGAAAGAAGGCGAAAGACAATGTTTCCTCTTCTCGAAACATCTCATCATCTGTACTCGCGGCTCTGGGGGAAAACTTCACATCACTAAGGTACAGTGGGATTGTAATCAAGAGGACCTGATACTAAAAGATAACATCCCAATAAACTGAGGTAAACTTTTCTTAAATTACCTTATAAAACAGCTCAAACCTCTCTAAACTAAAGAGCTCATTTCCATGAGGGTGGGGTGAATATCAAAAGATTGATATTGATATTGAACCTGATTATTACCAATTCAAGTAGTAATTGAATGAGCACATTGCATTATTGAGCTACAAAGATCGTTCTAAATGTATTTTTAATACACTTTTAGCGGATCTTATTTTCTCCATAAAATGTTTTAGTCACATCTTCTAATTGTATGACATGATGTATTTAGCAACTGCAAGATTTAATATATTTTGTGAAACTATGCGGAAGCCTCTTAGCTTGTAACACGTTAACCTTTCAACCCTGTCACAGAATGGAGTAGTCTCTCTCATAGACTGCACACTGATGGAGGAGCCGGAGGGAACAGACGATGAGTGTAAGTATCTATGTGCAGTATATTCAAATGTTTATATGTGCTGTATGTAGTTGTTAAAAATAAATTGATGCAGTTTTTTCTGTTAATATACTGTGGCTCACAAACTATTGGACTTGACTTCTACGTCTTTAAATAGTTGCAAACTTTTCAAAGACAAGATTTCAGCAACCTGCATGCTAAGAGCTGTAACAGTCAGTTATTAAAACAGCATATCTTTCATTTTTTTTGAAAATGAACGTTGTTATTTTGATGGAAGAAGTCTTCAGATATAGAATTGTGTTTGTGGGGTGGGGCTAACATACTGTTTGTGTAATTTATAAACAAATTGTACTATTTTGTGAAGAGCATTTCCCTAATGTTAACCTTACTCGTAGTACTTGCATCATGTCTACCTTTTCCGCTTCACTTCCACAGTAACAGTTGTGTTGGGGGTAGCAAAAGGTGAGCAGTTACAATAAATCAGTGTTATGTTACATTCTTTTCCTGATGAGTAAATTCATGTCTTTAAAGTATTTGGATGCAAAGGCTTCTCCATAATAATACTGTTTACATGACTATCCAGAAAGATGTAGTTAATCTAGAAACATGTTGCATCTTCATTGACTAGATTTAACAAAAACAATCGCTTAACCAGTCAACAATTGAGTGTTGACTGGTTGAATGGTTCTGGTTGCACACGATTTAATCAAGATAGCCACATTGGATCATTGTGAGTAATAGTGCTGTGCTTTCAAGCCAAATTTTTCAAATTAGAGGCTGCAGAACACGTATTAGCTGCTGCCTTTAGTTGAAAGAAGGGACTTCTGAAGGAGAAGGCTTTCAATCAGTGTCAAAAGCAGGATTTGTTTTGGCAACGAATACTGGTACTCATCTTTAGTTCAGTATTTAAAGCTTCACTGATATTATTTAATCACAGCATTTGTATTTGTAATGTTGATCTCAATACCGATCAGTGACAAGACTATTACACAGCTCCTTGATGATTGTTCTTCCTTGTACAGTAACTCGCCAAAGCAAATTGTCATAGTATCTTTCATTCAGACATTTTTATTTGATGGTAAATGTTTCTGAATGTCCAAATCAATATAAAATACATAATAATACATTACAAATATAATTTAAAATTGAAATTATCCCTCTCAGAGCTTTGAACTACACACAGTTATGAATAAAAAAAATTAACTGAACATTGAACAAGTGTATATTTTTATGTTACTTTGCCATTTCTAATTTCAGAGTACTTCATTTCTTCCTGTTACAGTCAAATGAAGGTTGTTGAATTTGTGCCTTATAGCCAAAGGGGAGCGGAGTGGCCAAGACACAGAGCACCTGGACTTTAAAGTGATGGTGGAGCCCAAAGAAGGCCAGCCCTTCACCGTCATCCTGGTGGCTTCATCTCGACAGGAAAAGTCAGCGTGGACTAGCGACATCAGCCAGGTACATGTCCTCTCCTGCGTGATTAAAGCCGAATCCGTTCCAAAATACCCACTGCAGGGTTGTGAATAGCTGTTTCTGACTTAAGCATGACATGGCACAAAGCATCATTAGCATCATTAGATGCAAGAGAGTTTACACAAAAAAGTTTACCTATGACTGTGGGCTGCAAACATCCGACACTTCCTCTATTATGAGAAAACAGCGAAGCCACCTAACCCTAATGGCTTGTGACAACTGATATTGTCTACAGGTTTGTTAATTCACTCACCCTTCACTCACCCTTGCTTTGTTACTCTCACAGAGAGCCTGATCTCTGTCTGTCTGCTTGCCTTACAGTGCATTGACAACATCCGCTGCAATGGTCTGATGATGAACGCCTTCGAGGAAAACAGTAAAGTCACTGTGCCACAGATGATTAAGTGAGAGTCAGACACCATCCACAAATGCACATACAAGTTCAAATACAAATTGTGTACAAAAGCACAAGCCGTGTTGGAGGCTAAAAAAAACAATATTTTCGAGAACATTCTTGGAGTTTATATATTTAAGAATGTCAGTATTAGCCTTCTCTGATAACTGTATAGATTTATTTTTCAGTAGGGAAACTACCCTACTCATAGTAATGTTAATGCTCTACCCACTGACCCACACATGACCAGAGCAGTGTTCTAACTGGGGGTGACATGCATCAGAATACTGAGTACTAAATCCATGTGAGTGACACTCCTAACCTCACTTAAACTGCAATGCAGGTCAGACACCAGCTTGTACTGTGATGATGTCGACATCCGCTTCAGCAAGATGATGAACTCCTGCAAGGTGCTGCAGATCCGCTACGCCAGCGTGGAGCGTTTGTTGGAGAGGCTGACCGACCTGCGCTTCCTCTCCATCGACTTCCTGAACACCTTCCTCCACTCCTACCGCGTCTTCACCAGCGCTGACGTTGTGCTGGACAAGCTCATCACCATCTACAAGAAGCCCATCAGTGCCATCCCTGCGCGGTGAGTGATCCCTTGAGAGGTTCAATTAGGAGCTCATTGGTATGAAATTGTCCACACTATTTTAGCAGGCTAACAGAGTAATTTTGAAAATGGCACCTTGCTGTTGTGAACCCAACATGTTATGTCTTGTTTTGCACACTCAGAGGGCCGTATTTACTAACACCTCTAATAAAGAGTACTAAATTGCATGTGCATTCTAAAATATTGCACGTGTAATCGTATTACCTATTATGGGTGATTAGCTACGAATTATTGCTTAAGTGACAACAGGTGCAAACACAATGGAGGTGTTTTCCGTGTTTTTATGGTTTCCGCCATGGGGGGTCAGGAGGGAAAGCAGCCACTGTGTAAAAACTTTTTTTTCATTCAGTACGTCCCAAGTATGTGGAAATCGTATGTACCTGCTCATCCTGTGTGAGATTGCACTAAGTACTTGGGACAGCACACTTGAAAAACTGCGCTGGGAAACCCCAGCAGAAACAGCTACAGTATGCTGGAATGATCCAGACGTGAGGAAATGCAGAGTTGCAAGACGTTTGGGCACGGCAGGTATTGTGTGACTCCTTGCAAATCCCCTTAGGTCAGCCAACAGCTCCAATATGGCATGCCAAAAATTTTGACACGAATGGAAAAAACTCTTTCTCTACTTCTTTCATTACGGCTGTGTCTCCTTCTCGCAACGATAACAGCAGCCATCTCTGCGCAACACTTGGCGGTTTGGACCTTCCTTTCAAACGTATTAAATACAGATGCTGTTGCACGCACATGAAATTGCTTTTAGGCTTGTTAGATCACTTTGCGTGTAGTAAATAAATGTATTTGCATGTTACCCTCCCATTACTTTTCACAACAACTTGAAACGCCCCAAATTGCATATTCATTAAGGAAAAGGTAGTAAATGAACAACAGGTGCTATCTTGCACTTTTGAAAGACGTCATTCTCCGTACACACTCTTAGTAGATCAGCTTACATGTTAATTTGCTGGTGATATCAAGTTTGCACACGTTTTCACTCATGCAAACCTTTAGTAAATCTGGCCCTCTGTGTACCTGTATGTGTGTGCACAATGATTTTATTACACTAAGATGCAATTTCTTCACCTCATATTTACAGTGTTGTTTTAAGTCTACAGCTCAAATAAATTTTCAACTTTGATGTAACAGTTGGCAACACTGCTACAAGGTGGGTCATATTAGTCTGAATACCAGTATGCAGCATTTGTAAGGTATGAAAGAGGTCTGCAAACAGCACCAGGATATGTGAATTGTTTAGCCAGTAACCTCAGCTTGGATGATTGATCCACCACTGCGATCCAGAATGAAATACCAATATCATTTATCTATATAACTATTTGATGAATTGCCAGGAAATGTTGTACAGACATTGCATGGTTCCCAGAGGATGGATCTTAGTGACATTGATGGTCTCCTAACTTTTCATTTAGCATCCTCATCAGGTCAAATTTTCAATAAACTTGGTTTATGTCCAAAAACAAGTTGCAAAACTAATGACATTCCCAACAGCCTCAGTTGTAATTTGCATTTAATGCATGTTATCATGCTAACACTCAACTAAGATAGTGAACATAGCAAACATTATACTTGCTAGACATCAGCATGTTAGCATACAGACGTTTGTTAAAAGCAGCACCGTGACTCCAGGTTCACCAGTCAAAACACTGCATAATTATTTGATATGTGACAGCATGGAAGGCAAGTTTATTTGCATGGCACCTTTTAACAAAAAGGCAAATCAATGTGCTACACATATGTGAAGAACAGAATCAGATTTGTCTACACATACAAGGTAGTTGACTCTGCTTTTACATTTCTCTCAATGTATGTACACAGAATAATCATTATTAACAAAATAGACAATATATATATGTATAAATACACACTTTATAAGGTACACCTGTTCACTTGTTTCTTAACACTTAAGTAGCTAATTAGCAACTCAATGCTTTTAGGCATGCAGTCATGGTCAAGACAGCTTGCTGAAGTTCAAACCGAGCGTCAGAATGGGGAAGAAAGGGTATTTAATTTACTTTAAACGTGGTATGGTTGTTGCCAGACAGGCTGGTCTGAGTATTTCAGAAACTGCTGATCTACTAGGATTTTCACGCACAACCATCTCTAGGTGTCAGAGGTCAGAGGAGAGTGGGCAGACTGGTTCAAGATGACAGAAAGGCAACAGTAACTAAAATTACCACTCATTACAAACAAGGTATGCAGAATACCATCTCTGAACGCACAACACGTCAAACCTTGAAGCAGATGGGCTACAGCAGCAGAAGACCACACCAGATGCCACTCCTGGCAGCTAAGAACAGGACACTGAGGCTACAATTCGCACAGGCTCACCAAAACTGGACAATAGAAGATTGGAAAACATTGCCTTGTCTGATGAGTCTTGATTTCAGCTGCGACATTCAGATGGTAGGGTCAGAATTTGGCGTACATATTTGGCAACATGAAAGCGTGGATCCATCCGGCCTTGTATCAATGGTTCAGGCTGGTGGTGGTGGTGTAATGGTGGGGGGATATTTTCTTGGCACACTTTGTGCCCCTTAGTACCAATTGAGCAACCTTTTAAACGCGACAGCCTGAGTATTATTGCTGACCATGTCCATCCCTTTATGACCACAGTGTACCCATCTTCTGATGGCTACTTCCAGCAGGATAATGCAGCATGTCTCAAAGCTCAAATCATCTCAAAATAGTTTCGTGAACATGAAAATGAGTGCACTGTCCTCCAATGGCCTCCACAGTCACCAGATCACAATCCAATAGAGTAACTTTGGAATGTGGTGGAACGGGAGATTTGGATCATAGATGTGAAGCTGACAAATCTGCATCAACTGCGCGATGTTATCAATATGGACCAAAGTCTCTGAGGAATGTTTCCAACACCTTGTTGAAAGTATGCTATGAAGAATTAAGGTAGTTCTGAAGGCAAAAAGGGGTCCAACATGGTACTAGCAAGGTGTACCTAACATAGTGGCTGGTGAGGTTATATACAGTATATATAAAACAATAACATTTGTAGACAGGAAGACAATAAGACAAGACAATAGTGCAATGGAATATAGTGCAAAAGATACTGGAATAAATATTTTGTGCAGTTATAGTCATGTACATTAGGTAAGTGGATATGATATGTGCAGTATATATAATATGAGATCAGACTTGAAATGCATTGCACTGTAACCGTGCTTGCAGTTGTAATGAAGTTACTTCAGAGTTACTGAAGTCCTTCATGAAGTGTTTCTATAATTACATCTATCCTTGCACATACTCTGTTAGAGTTTAAGTGGAGATCTTTAAACCGCAGAGCTAAAATGGTTTGTTACTGTGAGGCCAATCCCTGTAGCTTGTGACAACTAAAGAAATAACAAAGTTTGAAATTTCCACACATTTTCTCCTGAGGATGCAGCAACAGCGCTGTAATGGTGCAGTGAAAAGGTGGGACTTCCCTAGTGTCTGGATTTCTCTTTGCTCTCATGTGGACTGGTCTCTAAGCAGCCCATCTTGCTATCACAGCCCATCCAGGTGAGAAGGGACTAGAAGAGAAGCAGTGAGAGGTCACACTAGCACGTCCACTCCTCTGTCTTCTGTCCACCATCTCAGTTAATTGGGTCCTGCGTCCACCCGTCTCCCATAACCCCTCCTCTTCTTTCTAGTTCCTCTCTTTACCCTTTTCCATTCTCTCACTTTTATTTTTCTTTCCACAAGTCTGACCATTCCTCTCTCCGCTGCGCTGTCACCATGGCAACCCTCCACTCTGCTGCAGGACCCCACCCTCTCCCTTTCTCCTTGTCTTCTCTCTCCCTCCCTCAGTCTCTCTTTCTCTCTTTCCCTTTCTCCCATCATCTGCAGCGGCTCTACGGTATTAAATATTGATGGTGGTGTTTTGCACTCAGACCCTCCTCTCCTCTCCTCTCCTCTCCTCCCCTCTCCCCTCCTCTCCTCCTTCCTTCTTTTTGTCCTACTCCTCTCTCTTCTCCTGCTTGATTATCTCCTCTCATCTTCCCTCCTTCTGGCTTTACTTGTGACCTCTCTTGACTCTCCACTTTGCTTTTTGGGCTTGGTATTTCTAATTTTCCTCCTTGTCTCCTTCCCTCTATCTGCCTAGCTTCCTCCTTCCTATCTTTGCTCCTCTCATCTTCTTTCTTTTACTGTTTTGCAAAATTAGGCGAGGAGACACAACATGGCTGCAACTAACACCATACAGGGCTGGAGGCTTCCCATTCGCCCACTCCCAGCCAGCAGCCTTCACTGATGTGGAATCCATATCCACAATGTTGCTCCTCTCTCGCCCCCTCCCTCTCTGTCTCACTGTTTTTGCCCCTGCTAGATTTTTTTTTTTTGCAATGCACCTCTACCTCTTTCTCCCACTTTCCCTGTCTGTCTCTATCTGGCTCCCCTTTTCTCTGTTTCTTTCTCCCCATGTCTCTGTGGGCCTCCCCTGGGCTGGTTGCTGTTGGCAGCACCCGTGCCTCCCACACTGTCACTTGACATGCTATTTATAGGCCTTCAGAGGGGGTGGCTCTCAGTGCAAGGAGGATGCTTTCTTAAACAATGTAGCTTAAATAAAAGAGGCAGGAGCTCCCGAAGAGCCCTGTGGTTGATGTGTTCCCTCTTTGCTTCTGTGTACAGGCACCAAGTGCACCTTGCACCCCATTATCACCATTTGTCTTTTGATCACTGGGTCATTCGGAATAAATTCCCAAAATCCAAAAAGTGTTGCTTTTAAATAGTGAAAGATGCTCTTTTTAATGTTTCCATCCTTCTGTCTTACCCGTCCCTCCTTTTCTCCTCTATTTCATTCTGTCCTTTCCTGCAGTTCTTTGGAGCTTTTCTTTGCCAGCAGCCAGAACAACAAACTCCTCTACGGCGAGCCACCCACGTCGCCGCGTGCCAGCCGCAAGTTCTCCTCCCCTCCTCCTCTCTCCATCACCAAGACGTCCTCGCCCAACCGCCGTCGCAAGCTTTCGCTCAACATCCCCATCATCACAGGGGGCAAAGCCCTGGACCTTGCTGCACTCAGCTGTTCTCCCAATGGCTATGCAAGCATGCACTCCACCATGTCACCCTTCAGTAAGACGACACTCGACATCAACAAGCTCTATGTGTCCAGCACCATGGCTAACAAAATCCCAGACGAGGGAGAGGCCAAAGCCGAAGGCAAGGCTGATGAGTCTGTCCTCAACAAGCAAGGTCAGAATCACGGTCCGAGGGATGTTGCTCAGCTTTAATGAGGTTCACGTGTATTGTGGTCCACTGTCGTGCTCATACTAAATCATCATCTTTTACTGTCTTACCATCCCTTTATGGTTGCAAAGTGGTACTGATGTGCATATATAAGAGGTCTAAATAGAAAAATTTCAGCTTCTTTGAACAGTTTTCTTTGAGATTGAAAGACAACCACATTCATGTGGTCATGTGTTTTTCCAACTTAAAATCAAAAATGTTTTTTCGATTAAAAATGTTGGAAAAACATGTTGGAAAATTCAACTGACCATGATTATTGACCATAAAAATTAGAAAATACATACTTTTTTGACACTTAATGGCCTTTGGAATTTCCTAAACTGTTTAAACCTTTTGCTGTCTTCTCTCGCCATTTTCCCAGCTATCCACAAGCCCGACACTTATGTCTGTACATTTCTTCTTCTTCTTTGTTTTCTTTTTTCTTGATTGTGAAACACTTTTTTTCTGTCCAGATCTGTCTGTGAGAGAGGAATGTGCTGAGGACCCAAGTCAGAGTGACGAAACGGAGGCAGAAATGTCCCCTCCCAAGTCACCGTCAACACCTAAGAACGTCAAGTCAAAAAACTCTGGTAGGATGACTCTGTCTCTCCGCCATTGTGTTATGCGGTTCTTTGTCCTTTTAGAACGTCTTGTGATCTACTTTTGAATCCCAACCCACCAGTTAAAAAACAAATGAGTTGGCAAGAATGTTAAGTAACTTGGCAAGAATGTAAGAGCTGGCAATCGACAGTAGCTTAGCGCTTGGTGCTAGTGACACACAGTACTTGCCAGCAGAGTGTCTTGGCGGATTAGAATATGACAAAATAAAATCAATAATAATAGATCATGTCAATAACAAAAAACATTCATGGTAACATGAAGCACATTTAACTATTGCTATTCTTACCGCATGTTACACCCTCTATTAGCACTTGAAGGAATAATTCCAACTGGCAGATTACATTACTTAACTAACATGAAATGAGCAGTTAAAGTGAAATAAAGTCTAATTTAAAAAGAGTAATTGTAATAGAACTGCACTGAAAAGACCTGCAGCAGAAGAAACACCAGTTAGCCTTCAGATCACAGGTTAGGCAGGATATGTCCTGACTGTTTAAGAGTCAGCAATGGCTTCACAAAAATCATTTTTGGAAATCTACTTATTCGCTTTCTTGCTTTGAGTTAGATGAGAAGAGATCCACTCTCATCTCATTAAGTTACCACCACCTGTCAGTTAGCTTACCTTAGCATTAAGACTGGAAACAGGGAACCTGGCACTGTCCAAACATAACAAAATCCAGCTAGTAGCTCCTCTAAAGCTCGTTTATTAACAGTTATACCTTGTTTCATTAGTCTGTACAAAAACTGAAGTGCAAAAAGAACATATTGCAGGTTTATGGGGGTTATGTGCTGGACAGGTTGGCAGCCCACAACTGGTGACTCCAGGAGGGTACTGTGTCCAGCCAAGAAATAATCCAGCACACGACCCCTCGTAAAACCACAACGTGTTGTTAATTAGGGAACTTTAGAGGTGCTAGTAGGCAGACTTTGCTGACAGAACAGAGCCAGGCTGACTGTTTCCAGTCTTTGTGCTAAGCTGGTGAGTGCATTATTTACTGTACAGTTACGACTGTGGTATCAATCTCATCTATTTCTTGGCAAGATAGGGAATAAGCGTATTTCAAAACATTTGGAAATGTTGCTTTAGAACATTTGAAGCATTCAACTTTGCACAGTTCTCTGAGACACACACTTTATGCCTCTGAAGTGTAAACAATTCAAATACAGAGAAAGCTGTCATTATTACTTGATGTGTACAACGCATCTTTAAATGTAAGGTTTTAACATTAAAGATGTCAGTAAAGCAGGGGAAACTGGCAGCAGTTTCAGAAAGTACAAAAAAGGTCCAAATTGCGTTTTCTTTCGTTTAGTGGAAATCAATAATTTTAAAGGCAACGTTAGGTGTGATTTTTACTCTCAGACCATTTACCATTCAGCAGAGATTCAGATTCTGTATGTGAGAAGTGCAAAGAGGATGAGATGAGGAGTGTAATTCATAGTGTTAAATGGACCCTGTTACAGTTGACTGTATAGCAAATGTTTTCAGAAAATGACAAACGTAACTACAGCCAAATAAGGTCTTGATAAAAACCACCCACAGCCTCCTGGCCCTCCCCGTACTGCACAGAGAAGGAGCATCCACCCCATAGGTAGTCAGGCACAATTCATCCCCAGTGTGTTCTCTTCCCACGGTGCTGGATACAAGGGAAGCCAGTGCCTCGTGTGAGTAGGTGGAAGGAAACCTTGTACCTTAGCAACGATGTGCATGTTCTTCTATTCCGCCCCCGGCTGAACGGAGGAAGGCAGGGAGTGAAGGAGGGAGGCAGAGCGGCAGACACAGTCACTGGCAAAAGCTGCAGGACACACGCTGCTGTGTGGTCTGTTTTAGCTCTCTGTTGCCCTCCACTGGTCAACAACTTAGTTTGATTATACACATACTTATAGTCTGTCCACAGCACTTCACAGAAGGAATCATATCACCTTTAATCACCTTACTGATGAACCACTGGCAATTTCTCTTTCAGCCTAACCCTATCAGACACTGAAAGGGTTGTAATATTGGTGTTTGTCAGAAAATAAGAAATTTCTCTATTTAGTGGAAGTATCCTTTAACCTTTTGAAAAGCATAATGAAGAGTGATTAAGGGTATTAACCTTTAGATTTCGTTTCCTCCATGTAGAGTTTTCTCTGTTTTCCTTCAACAATGGCATGGTGGTGTCATCTTGCCGAGAGCTGGACAATAACCGCAGTGCCCTCTCTGCCGCCTCGGCCTTCGCCATCGCCACCGCTGGTGCCAATGAAGGCACGCCAACCAAGGAGAAATACCGTCGTATGTCACTCGCCAGCACAGGTCAGTGACATGAGGGGATGGCACTTCTGTTGACCAATAAATACCTCACTGATCAGATAACAGATGATCATTGGATGACAGACTATGTAAAAAACACTCATTTTTGGTTTGGATTATTTAGCCACACTTCTGGGGAGGGAAAGACATTTTGAATGTAACATAGATCAACTAATGACATCATTGGTCTGAAGGATAAGCAGTTTGGTGCCTCATGCCCACCAGGAGGCCTTCAAACTAATGTGTTGTCCTCTTTTTATTTAATGTCATCATTTAAGCATCTGTTTCAGTGATGTTAACTGTTTTTATAATCAGTCTTATATTAGGAAACAGACTGATTCTTTTACCAAGTGAATGTTTTTTTTTCTTTATTTCATTTAATTGTAGTTGATTTTTGTTCTGCATTTTGCAAAACTGTAATGAAACATTAACAACTGTAAACAACTTGTTTTGGGGAATCGCTGCCTAGCTCAAGTTTCCTGATGCTACTACATTTATGTTTGAATAATGTTTGACTAGTTGTGAACACAGTTTTATAGTCTTTAAATATTCAAAGAAGCATTTTTTTTTGTCTCTGCAAGCAAATAACAAAAGGAGAGAACCATTTACAAGTAATGCTGTTACATCAACAGCTGATTGGTGTAGTTTCACTGTAACTCGGTTAAACTTGGTTCCAGGCTTTCCTACAGACCAGAGGAATGGGGACAAAGAGTTTGTTATCAGAAGAGCTGCCACAAACAGAGTCTTGAATGTGCTGCGTCACTGGGTCTCCAAACATGCGCAGGTACAGTTCACCTTTACTTCTGTTTTTCTCTTTTTGTTTATCTTATTATGCCATTGTAGAAGAAAAACAACACTTCTGCAATGACTCTGCTGTTGTTCCTGTGTTGGTCTTCAGGACTTTGAGCAGAACACAGAGCTGAAGATGCGGGTAATTGGCTTCCTGGAGGAGGTGATGCATGACCCAGAGCTCCTCACACAGGAAAGAAAGGCAGCTGCCAACATTATCAGGTTGGTTTTCCGTTATCATCGCTTGATTGCACATGCAGTCACATATGACACATCTGTCAGCACCATGTAGAAAAAAAGTTTCTGCAAGAGAATTTCTGATGCCAACAATCAGTATTAAAAGAGGAACTGGAGATACATCAACCCAGGTCCTGGCCTAAATCTGGTGCCTGGTGGACACACAATATACCTGGACACCGGCAGTAGAGCTTCAGAAAATAGAAACTTTTCACCTTTTATTCTGAGCTGCAGTGTCTGAACATCCCTGAAGTATTTTCTGATCTTCAAGGGAAGACAGAACAGACTTTTGCATTGGTACAAAATGGTAAAACTGGAGTAATTGCTGCTAAACATTATCAACCTGTGGAGGTGAAACCAAAAAGGCAAAACCCAAACTGAACAAAAAGATAAATTAATACCCAATGTTCTGGGTCACATTGGGAACTTTTGGACAAGTGGAATCCATTTATGTTTATTAAGGTCAATGCAATTGTGGACAAAACTGTCAAATAATAGCACTTTTCTCTTTTTGCACATAGAACTCTCACTCAGGAGGACCCCGGAGACAACCAGGTCACCCTGGAAGAGATCACACAGATGGTGAGAGAAAGATTACAAAAGCCTTTTCAGTTTAAATAAAAAAATATTGTCAGTATCAAAAAAAAATATAAAACACCTCTTCTTCTTGAAATGACTGGGTGTACTGTAGAAATGATTTGTGCTTTAGTTGTGATAATGTTTTTCACTGTGTCAGGCCTTGGAGGACTGTAAGACTGAGCCGTTTGACAGCCACTCTGCCCTGGAGATAGCTGAGCAACTCACGCTGCTGGACCACCTGGTCTTCAAGGTCATCCCATACGAGTGAGGACACACACATACATGTGTATAAACAAACAGACACACACAGTCACTGAATGTTTGTGTGTGTTTGATTATTTGACAAACTTTTTTCCACAGGGAGTTCTTTGGTCAAGGCTGGATGAAGAACGATAAAAACGAGAGAACTCCGTACATTATGAAAACAACCAAGCATTTCAACGATGTATGTGTTTACTCTGGTATTGTGAAATAAAGAAAAATAAATGTCAGAGATATCGAGATACATAAAAGATATATTATCATGTATTTTTCTCTTTATTTTTTGTCAGATCAGCAACAGGATCGCCACTGAGATCTTGCAATGGGACGATGTTAACATGCGAGTGGCAGTGATCGAGAAATGGGTGGCAGTGGCTGACATCTGCCGCTGCCTCCACAACTACAACGCCATGCTGGAGATCACATCCTCTCTCAACCGCAGCTCCATCTTCCGCCTCAAGAAGACCTGGCTCAAAGTCTCCAAGCAGGTATCAGTAATTTCTGACATGTTCATCCAGCAGTTATCCACTAATATACAGGGGTGTAAGATTTCCAGGTTTTAGCTTAGTTATTCAAGTAATTACTAAAGTTGGCTCAGGCACCTTAACATGACCTAAAGGAATTGTTTGCCATTTTGGGAAATACCCTTATTTACTCTCTTTCATTAGATGAAAAGATCAATACCACTCTCATCTTTTAACACTAAATATAAGGCTTTCTATGTGCAGAAAGCTAAGCTAATTGCCTCCTGGCTCTAGCTTCATATTTAGCATACAGATTCATATCTGTATGCTAAGTGGTATCGATCTTCTCATCTACTGTAACTCTTGACAAAAAAGTGATTCGGTGTATTTCGCAAAATGTCAAACTATACCATCCAGCCTTTTTCCTCTAGCCAAAGTGAGCATTTCAAACTTGTATCAAAAATGAAACAGGACGTTTTGCAAATGAAACAACATGCTCTTAGAGCTCTTGGTCATTTTTAGCTTTAACAGTTTTGCTTTAATCCATTTTCCAGACAAAAACTGTGATTGACAAGTTACAGAAGCTGGTGTCATCAGAGGGACGATTCAAAAACCTGAGAGAAGCTCTGAAGAAGTAAGAATCCACAGTTGTTCACATTTCTGTAAGGTGCTCACACATTCTGGTGGAGGAGTTATGTGGTTCCCTCTTTATGTTTTTTGTGTCTGTACAATTGTCCCACCTTTTGTCCTCAGCTGTGACCCTCCCTGCGTTCCCTACCTGGGAATGTACCTGACTGACCTGGCCTTCATCGAGGAAGGAACACCCAACTACACCGAGGACAACCTGGTCAACTTCTCTAAGATGAGAATGGTAAAAAAAATGAGAGTGGGGAGATATACATACAGTACCTTACACCTTATATTATTTCTGTCTTGAATCTAGTTTGTCACTTTTGTAACATGTTACCAATCTGTGCCTCAAGTATTGTTGACAATACTAACTTGCAAGATTGAAATTTATATCATTTTGATTTCATTTGACCCCAGATATCTCACATTATCAGAGAGATAAGACAATTTCAGCAAACAGCTTACAAGATTGATTATCAACCAAAGGTGAGTTTTTATGAGTCTGTATTGTTTTAGTGTGCATTTTATACGGTGGTATGACTAATGGCAAGTCTGTATTGTTTAGTAAAAGGTATTTCCCAATCAGTACTCTTAACAGTAATATTGGCCATTTGGGAGTCTTTTCAAGTATAAATTGTGAAAATCATCAAATTCATGTAATCCTGAATATAGCAAGCAACCGACAAGAGCAAAACATACTAGCCACAAGCTACTGGGAAAAATATGTATCTTTGATTACTAGTAAGTGAATGCTTATGGAGAGCAGTATGTTTTCACAGTGGGTGATATTTTCATTACATGAATAATTTATTAACTGTATACAGTTTAGATTTCAATTCTCATTTTACATCTTTGGATTCACATTTGGAAATAAAATCATACTGATACACAACTGACAGTGGGAGAAATGTTGTATATAAATGTATATTTTCACTAATAGCGGGTATGCACACTGAGCATCTATTCCTAGCCTTGAACAAAGTGCTTTGTCTGTTCATTATTGCTTTAGGTTGCAAAGTACTTGCTGGACAGCAGTAAAGCACTGGATGAGGAGAGCCTGTATGAAGCGTCTCTGAGAATTGAGCCCAAAACTTCATCATGAACGTGATCTCTCCCACCCTCAACCCTCATACGGAGTATACAGGAACAATATATGATAATGTACATATACTATTATTTGTATTAGACACAGTAGGCTGTGCCCTTCTAGTATGTGCTCCCCAATGGACTCGTGCATAATCGTTATTAGAGACTGAGTAGAAGCCCAGAGAGGTTTTCTTTATATATTTACAGAGTATTTATATGTTACTTATCGTCTTAAATACCATTTTATGATAGTTATTTTCAAACACAGAATAAACAGATAAGAGGGTATACAGATATGATATTTAATAATATCCTAATGGGAATGTGCAGTATAGAAAGGCTCTCATTCATGAGAGATGGTGGTGACACATGATGATTAACTCTCACTTTTCTGCTCAGATGTCAAAATCAAAGAGAGGACTGCACAGAACGGCGATTGTCTTTAAACAAGTCCCCATGCAAACATTATGCAGACACTTCTTCAGCCTGTTTGTCCTCAAGTGGCGATCTTACAAGTTAAAAGTAATATGAATATCTACTAATCCACTCACAATGCTAACACTGTAAACTACTAATTGCTGAATGTAAATAAATTGAATGGCTATTGCAGGAAAAAACTCCAGAGCATAAATTGTATCAAAAATGAGATTTGATTTCATGAAAATGTTAAGTATTCAAATTGAAATTTAGCGACAAATCTTCCTTCTCAGCGAAGTAAAGGAAGTGAAAAGTGGAACTGCCGTGGTGGCTGAAGTTGAATCGTGCTCTGATGTTTTATGTAGCCACTGATTGATTTGGAATAGTTGGAGTAAAACTGACACCATAGTACTTGCTGGCTTCTGATTGAGCTAGGACATGTGTTTCAGTTTGGAGAGATGGGTTTTTATGCTTTTGCTTATTATCACCTTACTCCCCTGGTGGGTAACATGATGTATATACAGTATAAGCACCGGGCAGTGTATGTAGCAGATGTAACCAATATTGAGCCACTTCAGGAAGTTAAATTCCCAGCTTCTACACAGACACTAAGAGCATAGTTTTTATGGTTAATCCTCTTTGGCCATTGCATTATGGTTTTGCCTTAATCATGAAATGGATTAAATACCACAAAAGTGTGTAAACTATTTTGTTCTACAATTTGCCAATGAAGCAGAAATATTTGCTGTGTACAATATTGTGTACAGGCGGTCTGATGCATTTCCTAACGTGCAATGTGTTAAAAACATATCCCTTGAAATGTGTTATCCTTATGATCGTTCAACTCTGTAATAACTTTTCTGTGTATGATACTTTAAAACAAATGTTGATAACAACTTATAAGTGTAACACATTCTGTATCCTGTCTATTCCAATGTGTTAGCAGGAACTATACAGTAGTAATATTGTGCTTATTCTTGGAATATTTATAGGTATTTTTTACAGGCTTTGTAAAGAAAAACACCTAAAGCTTAAGTGGCAGGCATGTACCACTTTCACGTGTTCAAATCAAATCTATATCTAGAACAGTATGTGTACTGTATTTAAACCCCGCCCTTGCACACAAATCTTTACCCTCTAACAGGCACATCAAATGTTTGCAGTGAGCAATACCCAGTGGTATGAGAATTATATTTCAGTCTATTTCAACAGCTTGAGTAGTATTTCCAGTTTTGTATAAAAGTGTATTCTTTCCTGATTACCTCTTGTTAATAAATCTATTCTTTCTCAGGGGGAGAAGTGTCTTCAAGGCTGCCACGTTTGTTTGACACTGTAAACGGAGTTTATGTAAAAGCCCATAAACTGTGGTCGTAGCTTTGCATGGTAAAGCTCAAAGAGGCTCAGCCAGAGGAAGGGGGTGGTTAGGTATTATGAAAGGCAGCCCTGTCATGTGACTCTGTCAGAGGCTGTTGGAGTGTACGGGTAAAGTATGGCGCCCGGTGTGGTTTGGTTCATCACCACCGTTTTTAGTTTAGTTCATTTAACACCGTTAATTTTACTCGAAGGTAAGGAAACACTCTTTAAGTTAAACATTTAGTTTTCAAACGTTTATTTTTGTAATTTGCAGAAACGGTAGTCGCTAGAGTCTAACAGAAATAGCCTATGTCAAATTAAAGGCAGACTCTCCGACAGGTGTAGCTCCACACTCAAAAAGTAGCCAGAAAGATAGAGGTATTTTTCACAATTATGAGCAGTGTTGGAAGAAGTAGTTTATTCAGCTCTTTTTATTTAGGTAATAGAAGCAATACTGCGCAATATAAAAACACTCCACTACAAGTAAACGTTGTGTATTAAAAATGTCACTTGTTTAAGTAGCATAAAAGTAGCCTACATAAATGTACCTGAAGTATCTATCAAGTAATCATAATGGAGAAAATGACCCCTGTCAGCATTAATTATATTACGTTATTGGATTATTGTCAGGGATGCATTGATGTGGAAGTATCATACTGTTGTACTTGGTCGAGTTGGAGGCAATTCGTGTAGTTTAATCTATAATACATCCTTTTAGTAATTAAATATTTTGCACGTAAAATCTAAATCTGTAAACAAACTATAACTACAGCTGTCAGATGCTGTAAATGCAGTGATGTGAAATTTTTTCCCCCTCTAAATTGTAGTGGAGTAGTGATAAGTAGCATGAAATGGAAATACAAGTTGGCTACCTGAACTTAAGTAATGTACTTGAGTAAATGTACTTAGTTACCTTAAATGGCTTTAGGACTAAATTTGAAGTTTGAAATGGTGATTATTAGTCTGCTTTATTAAACGATGGCTTCATTCTTTGTCTTATCAGAGGAAAATGAATTCAAACAGTGGATGTCACAGGTATGTAGGCCTACATCATGACAAAGTTACTGAAAATGTATGCCTCAGTTTTTAAAAACTCAATTATTTCTTTTGTGTTTGCTGTCACTCTTTTTGACCTGCAGCACAGCAGAGTTTATGACAGTGAGGAGTATAACCACCGACTCAACATATTTACTGAGAATAAGAGGATAATTGATCACCATAATGCTGGGAACCATTCCTTCACAAGTACAGTACTGTTTGGCACTAATTCCAGTCTCATAGTTTGTGTAATGTATGGATTACTACTACAGTGTGGGCACTGTAGTAGTAATCCAAAAACAAAAGGCATGCATGTTTTCAAAACGTTTTTCATTTTCAATTTAGTGAGCCTGAATCAGTTCTCAGACATGACATTTGAGGAATTCAGGAAATTGTTTCTTTTGACAGAGCCTCAGGTACGATCCATCTTACAATACAACACTCTTCATGCATCTGGTGCTTATATACTGTACCTGTGCTTATTTGATTACAGTATTTTGGTTCTGGTCTCTTGCAGAACTGTTCAGCTACTAAAGGGGGTCACGTAATCAGGACTGGTCCATTTCCTGAGTTTGTAGACTGGAGGTTGAAGGGAAACTTTGTGACTCCCGTGAAGAACCAGGTAACCTAATATGGTGCCGAACAGCCAAAAAAGTACCACCAAAATCTAGAGGGAGAATCAGGCAAGAAATTGGATATGGACATTAATCCAAGGATATGAAGTAACTTATCTAATAATAGTGGAAAGTGGAACTGAGTGTTGCAACACTTATTCTCGAAGGCTTTCACATCAAAAGCATGTACCAAATAAAAAATAAATGTAAATTTAAATTAATCAGTTCATTACCTTATTCTTTGTGTGACATGTAGGTAGCCTAAGCAACAAGCTGACCTGAAAATTGTATGTTTTGTCTCTTATCAATAGAGTGAGCAGTTTCTTAGCAGCCAAAGAGATAAAAAGATTCTGTCAATAGTCATAATGGCTGTATTATGTGAGACAGGAACACTCACAGCCTCCTGTTTAAAGGAGCATTTGGGAAATAATTTAGGTACTACTATAAAGTATTTATAAAGTGTGTGTGTGTGTGTGTGTGTGTGTATATATATATATATATATATATATATATATATATATATATATATATATATATATATATATATATATATATATATATATATATATATATGTATAATGTATATTAGTGCTGGGCAACGATTAAAATTTGTAATCGCAATTAATCGCATGATTTTTAGCGATTAATAGCATAGTTATGCGCAAAATTTGTAGTAAAGTAGTGTATTGCACACTTTTAATTTAAATGTACTGCTATATACACAAGTGCAATAACATGTGGTTTGCAAGCACTTTAAACAAATAAGCTGCTTTTTATCAGCAGTATTCCCTTTACAAAGCTATTTGCCATTACCTTTTATCTTATCTTATCTGGCTTGTTATAACAAGTTAGAGTTAACATAGGTTAACATATATAGATCTGTTTTTTAATTTTTCTTTCTGAACAGGTATCAGCAGAAATATTTTTCTTTTATCAGGAAGCAGCATAAACAGTCTATGTTCAGTGTGGTCGAGCACAAGGTGTACCGACAAGCAGGTGCATTCCTGTGAAACTGTCCTGGTTGTGCTCGCCTCACACACATGCCCACCTGCTGCCGAAATTGAATTGTCTTCAACTTTTTGTATGCGACGCGCAGCACAAATCAATGGAAGAGATCCTCTCTGTTTGTAAGTTTCCAGAATCTATTACTGTTTACTAAATAGGACATCAACAGGAGGGAATTTGCATGGCAGAGCATCTCCGCAAAATTAGATGAAGGCCTATCAGGTAAAGTTATGTAGCCTATAATTTTAACATAAGTTAAATAGGCTACAGCTGTGTAGCGCACAGAAGCCGTTGCCATGGTTTCTATCCATAGAGCCCTGTCGTTTACTCGCGTAGCGCTTGTCCCCCTTTTCTACTGAGAGAACCCGTGGGACCAAGCGACTACGTTGTTATTTTAAGAACGTTCCTAAGACCGACATCTTCCCCAATACTAATCAGCATGCAGTGTGTAGCTATCCACTTCGCTATAGCATTTGATCGCTTGTCTTGCTTTTGTTTATCTAGCCTACTTCTTCCACACGCTGCATCCAGTGTGCTGAAGCCTCCCTCCACTTCTTGTTTGGGTGGGTGATTTGCAGGCTGATCAACATCCCACCACTCCCTGAACCATGGTTTGACTGTAGGCCTATGTGTATTCAGAGCCAGTGAGAAACAGACTTTCAAAATAATAATAACGTTAACATGCGATAAAAAATAAATCTTGCACTATACTGTATGTCACCTACACTTGGAGGTGTAGCCTATATTAATTTAGTGTCCAATGAAACACCTCTTGAGCAGAATGTTTCTGGGGGCTAGCCGAACCTCACTGATTACTGTACAAGAACACAACTTTATAACTTGTACAAAACACAACTTTAGTCACCAGTTTATATTACTCTGCAAAGCTCCACCAGAGACAGAGGACACACTGGCTTAGAGGTAGAGCGGGTCGTCCACTACTCGGAAGGTCGGCTCCTCCAGTCTGCATGTACAAGTAGGCTATCTTTGTGCAACATACTGAACCCCAAAATGTGTGTGAGTTTGTACTAAAGTATTAGTTTCTGTTTCTGATGAGCACCTTTCTTGGAAGCCTCTGCTGTCAATGTGTGAATGGGGTGAATGTTGACTTGTGCAAAGTAGTGCAAAGTGTCTTTTGAGTGTTTGGAAGCCAAGAAAGGCGCCATACAAGCGCAGTCCATTTACAACTGTTTTTACAATAAATCAATAAAAAAAATAAATAATGGAGAAAATGACCCCTGTCAGCATTAATTATATTACGTTATTGGATTATTGTCAGGGATGCATTGATGTGGAAGTATCATACTGTTGTACTTGGTCGAGTTGGAGGCAATTCGTGTAGTTTAATCTATAATGCATCCTTTTAGTAATTAAATATTTTGCACGTAAAATCTAAATCTGTAAACAAACATAACTACAGCTGTCAGATGCTGTAAATGCAGTGATGTGAAATTTTTTCCCCCTCTAAATTGTAGTGGAGTAGTGATAAGTAGCATGAAATGGAAATACAAGTTGGCTACCTGAACTTAAGTAATGTACTTGAGTAAATGTACTTAGTTACCTTAAATGGCTTTAGGACTAAATTTGAAGTTTGAAATGGTGATTATTAGTCTGCTTTATTAAACGATGGCTTCATTCTTTGTCTTATCAGAGGAAAATGAATTCAAACAGTGGATGTCACAGGTATGTAGGCCTACATCATGACAAAGTTACTGAAAATGTATGCCTCAGTTTTTAAAAACTCAATTATTTCTTTTTTATTTGCTGTCACTCTTTTTGACCTGCAGCACAACAGAGTTTATGACAGTAAATTCATGCTACTTATCAGCCGTCATTTCTAAAATCAGTGGAGTGGCCCTTTAACGTAAGTGACTTAACAGTTGTTTGATTTATAGTGCCTTTGTGTCTTTAGGGTTTCTGTGGAAGCTGCTGGACCTTCTCTACCACTGGATGTTTGGAGTCAGTGAATGCTATCGCTACTGGCAAGCTAATACCTCTGGTGAGATCTGTCTGGCTGTAGTAATACTCAAATCATCTCACACGTGTCACTTCAGGTTACATCTGGGCTGGGAAATTTGAAGGGATCCACGTTCTCACAATGAAAATTTAGAAGATGTTTCTCTATTTTACTGTCTGGTCCTTTGCATGATTTGAACTATTAGAGTTAGCTGTAGTACAGTGTCTTGCTGTGTACAAAAGCATGATGCAGTTTGTTTTCTGTATCAGTCTGAACAGCAGCTGATAGACTGTGCCAAAGCCTTCAACAATCATGGATGCTTGGGGTTAGTAACATGAATTTGTTATTGTAGGTTTTTATAGTTACAGCTATAACATGTGGTAAGACATTATAAGTTATACTAAGAATACTTGTGTTTAAGGCGACTACCTTGTTTGTTTCAGTGGGCTCCCCAGCCAGGCATTTGAGTACATCAGATACAGCAAAGGTCTTATGACTGAAGAGGACTATCCCTACAAAGGCCATGTATGACTTTTCTGGAGTGATGACTCAATTATTTTCATGGAAAAAAAATTCTCATTGTATGAATTTCGTCCTTCCTGTTTTAGGATGACTCTTGCCATTTTGAGCCTGCGCTTGCAGCTGCTTTTGTCCTGGATGTTGTCAACATAACAAGTGTGAGTAAAAGTGTATACATGTGAAGTTCCAGTGTGAGACAAGAAGCAGCTACTGTATAAGTGACATTGTGCCACTGTTGTAGATACTTATAGTTACAGCATAATATACTGGATTGCTAATATTTGCTCACAGTATAATAACTTTACCTCTTAACTGGATTTTGCTGTTAAATTTCTGTCTGTTTGTCCATCCACAGTATGATGAAAAGGCCATGGTTGATGCTGTGGCCTCGCTCAACCCTGTGTCCTTCGCCTTTGACGTCACGCATGAATTTATGCACTACAAAGAAGGTGTTTATTCAAGGTGAGCTAAGGACCTCAACAAGCATTTAAGTATTTACTGTTGTCCACAAATAACATGTGGTTGGGAATATTCAGAGGACTGTGGCCACGTTGTTTCTGTCCCTTTTGGACTATGGAAATATTTACACAGTATACAGTATAACACAATAATGGGATGTAGTAATCCACCAGCACAGAAAGTAAGTAGTAATGAAAGAGGATTATGGAACTAACAAGGCCACAGGAGAAATATGCAGTAACCAAAATCTTAGTTGACAGTTTATGGCAGGATGTGACAGAAATCTGCTTGCACCTACATTAGGTCATTACATGGATTTCGGAAAGTTGCCAAAAAAAAATCTTCTAAAGTTTAAGTTGCAGTTCTTCCTTTATAGGTTCAGCATTCATCCTTTTGTGTTGTGTTGTTATTGTTGTACCACTTTGTGTACCTGTTTACTTCAACACTGTATAGTGATCAGCCTGTTTCTCTGTTTCATGGCTCTGTCTTGAACTGTCATTAAAAAATATCTACAGAAACAGCTACACAACACATCGTTGAATAGGCAGGTTGTAATATAATATTGAAGGAGGATAGCAGCCCACACACACCCTACAAAAGACATGTACTCTATTGATCCAAAAGCATCAGTGTTGTCTGTTTAGCACCCAGTGTAAGAACACTGCAGACATGGTGAATCATGCGGTCCTGGCTGTGGGTTACGGTGCTGAAGAGAACGGCATGCCATATTGGATTGTGAAGAACTCTTGGGGCACAGTCTGGGGAATGGACGGGTAAATATAGTCTGTGTGTGTGTATTTCAGTGTGATGACTTGTTGCAATTTTCAAGCCTCATGGACACATATTTTTAATCCACCAGATATTTTTTGATTGAGCGAGGAAAAAACATGTGTGGACTGGCTGCATGCTCATCCTACCCTGTGCCTTTAGTTTGAGGAGCGACATGGCAACAAAGTGGAGGACTGATGAAACTCAGGAAAATGTCAAACATAAATGGAAGATTTCTGTCACATTCTCTGAAGTGTTTTTATGTGGAAGTTTGATTTCTCAAAAGTATGTACAGAATTATGCTGTGTTGTGAATAAATGCCATGTATGTAACAATATTATATAAGAAAAAAGTCTAACAATGTTATGTATATAATTTGTCTAGGGCTTAAAACATGGAATAAAAAGAAAATGGTAATAAGTTGCATCATAGTTGGACCTAATCTGTGTCCTTACTGGGTACTGTGTGTGTTGTTGTTTTTTTTTGTATACAGTGTGTTCCAGTTTGTTACAAACATTAAATCTTCTCTCTCAACATTACTGTGGTGTGCATTTGTTTTCTATTGAGGTCACTAAGTTGTTTTCATTTATTCTTTTTGAGACAATTACTGTACACAAAGAAAATTAATCATAAAGTAGGAATCTACTGTAGGCTTCTACAGAAGCTTGTACTGTGCAGGACTTTTTTAATTTTTAAGAAACAGCATTGGGGAAAAAACAGATGAAGTAGCCACCTTACTAACACTGTAGACCAGTGTGTTATGACAGATCACCCATGGGTCATTGGTTTACTTCTTTTGACTGAGTGACCTTTTCATGGCTGCAGAGACAAAATCAAGTCTTTAAAAAATATAGATTGTCTTCAAAGACAAGGATAGGCTCCTTCCCTAATCTTCAGTTGCCTTGTGTTTTGTGTATATTATTTCCGTTATTAGTGATAAGTCTTTTTCTTTGTGCATTGTTTGTACACTAAATAGTATTTTCTATTTCAACTCTAAAGCATGAAAAAATGGTGTTGTGGGCCTGTTTCCATGCATAAATAACCCAGAATTATCAATATTAACGAAGTTATTCCAGCTTCCTATTACTGCTATTGCCCACATCTGCCAAACGGTGGCGACATCATCACTGGCCCTGTGGAAGCTGAAGAAGAGATTAGATGTCAATCAAATTGTAAGGCGTTCATTGGTTCTTAGCAGCAGAGAAACGCCCCATATTTCGATGACGTAACAATATGAACCAATGAGCTGCTAGTATTCTGTTTCACAACAGAGAGGAGGGGCTAGTTGCAAAACATTTCTAGCACGTGGCGCCAATTCTGCTAGATTTTCACTTATCATCTCAGTTACTTGCCGGAAAGGTGTGCGTCTGTCACCTTCACGCAGTTCTCTCGAAGAAGTAGTTCATACGTATCGTTACAAGTGGACTAAAATGGCGACAAAACGGTCAACACGCGAAGCTGTTGTAAAGGTACAGTTATTGGTAAGTTATTAGTTTGTTATCTTACTTTGCCTTAACTTATCGTCTTAACGTTACCTGTGTGTTAGCTAGCTGCTGAATGACGTTGAGTTAAGTTTGGGGGCTCAAGTAATTAAAGATCATTGTGAGGGAGACACTAGCAAACGTTATTTTCGGCGTAAGTTGTTGTGGGTTTCGCTAAAAGTTATGTTTCTGTGGAAAAGTTGAATGACGCATTGTTTTCTTTAGCTAACTTAATGATGCACACCTTGCAGGATACGAGTCCTGTGGATGTCTCCCGAGCAGTCCGTAGATCCTCACGAAACACCCTGCCATCTAAACGCTTCCAGTACTCTCCTGAAAGCAGCGCAGCAGAAACACGCAAAAGGAAACGGGCAAGAGACACTTCAGAAACACATAGAAGCATTAATATTCTCTAATAGGTATTTTTGTTTTGTTTATGTTAATATGCGCATATTCTGTCAATAGCGAACAAAAACACACAATGACAGCCAGAATGACAGAAAGGACATTAAGGAGGAGGAGGATGTTAAAAAGAGTGATGTGGAGCGCACATTTGTAAGTATAGAAACATGCACAATGTGTCATGGACATTGTGCTTTTATTTATTACTGTGTCTCTGATAACTGTGTTGCAACATGTACAAAAATGTCTGCCTGTCATATAGACACTAGTATCCTCAACTCCTCCTACATGGCTTCAAAAGTAAAGATACTGAATGTTTCTCCAGAGTGTGAGTGATGTATCTCTGTAACATAGGGTGGACACGGAGGACTCTCTGCATATGAACTTGAGCGCCTGGAGAACATCAGACAGAACCAAGCGTTCCTGTCTTCTATCAACTTATTCCAGGTAGGTAGACAGGTGAGGTAGTCTTGTGAACCTCTGGACAGATAAGATGGGAATTAATCATTGTTTTCCTTGTCAAAAGGCAACTGAGGAGTTGAAGCAGTTGACACGGCCAAAGCCATCGCAGAGGGGTCTCATGAGGTAAAGTCGGCAGACAAACTTACTGCTCTTAATTTAGCATATCAATAATTTCTGAATAAAGTGATTGAGGGGTAGCATGACATCTGGTGTGTACACAATGCATCATGCTGCTATTTAATGCTTTAAATGGGGTTAATTGATATTATTGGTATTTACTTTTTCAATTTCTTACAGCTGAAAATTGTTTACTTTGGGCTTTTTGATTTTTGGTTTGTAGACATCACTTTAGGCTCTCGTTATATTCAGCTTTAGGAATAATCTTTCAGAAGTCTTCTGGATGTCAGTGTGATGCTCAGTTTTTTGTGGTGGCAGGTCACAGACTGCTGTAAAAGAAATGCTGCCACCTCGCAAATCCCTGCGTCTCCAAAATAAAGAAGCAGAGATCTTGACACTTCCCCCTGAACCCAAGGGGATGCTGATCTATGAAGAGGTAGCTAAATACTCACTTACCTCCTTATCGCTTCATACCCCTCCACTGCTGTCTGTCTCTCTAGCAATTATTTTTCTTTCCTGTCGTCTTTTCTCGCCATCCCAGCTCTTTTGTTAATCACTTTAGGTATTTCACTTTCTTTTAAGTCTTTGCCACTCAAGAAGCCTCCTGGGCCCCTGCCCATGGATCCCGTTAACATGGAAGAGGGAAGCAAGCTGCCTCCACAACTTCTTGAGCTGTGCTCTGAGGTAGGAGCCACCTTCCTTGGCTATAGTAAATAAATGCAGTGCTGTATTTTGCTTGCATCTTTGTGGGCTGATAATTGTTGTTTACTTATATTGCTTCTGAATCAAATCTTAGGAATGCTTTTATTTTCCTAGGATGTAACAGAAGAAAGGAAGATGGAACTTGATCTGAATGAGTAAGAGTTTATGTTGTGCTTATAATTCAGTCAGTTCTCCACTTCTGAGTGCATATTTGCAGCTGTTTGTTCATACAGACAGGTAAAAATCTGCACTGGTGATTTTATGCAGGTACCGCTCATTCCTTAAGAACATGAAGATAAATGAGGACAGAGTGGCCAAAGTAGTGAAGGGCTGCATCTTCTCTGCTGCCTTCCACCCTTGCACCAGCAGCCTGTTGATGGCTGCAGGATCCAAGACAGGGCAAGTTGGACTCTGGAAGTTGGTGAGTTGTCTTTGATCTGTTTTATTGATGTTGTAAATTATTATTTGACCACTAGGGGGCAGAAAGTGGGCTTCTAAACACCCTCTTAGCAACAGGTCTTGGGGCACAATATCAACTGGAAGGCAGAGATGCTCACAAGTCATTTTATGCCAAGTCCAAGTCAAGTCTTTGAGCTAGAGGTCAAGCTAAGCCGTCCAGTCTGCTTACAACACTGCATAGCTATATCTAAGGGATTCAAAGCATGTGCTTTATTATCATCATTACTTTATCTACACTGACAATACACACTTTACTTTAAAGTTAATAACTGCTACATGAACATACAGCTACAGTATAACCAAGTATTGGCTAAAAATAGATATAGGCTGAAGTAACTGAGGGTAAAAGGAAATTATTGTTAACATTATTAGGTATGCAATAACAACTGTTACCTTTTTTCAATGACAGAGTGCAACAGTATTTTAGAATGACCCAGTCTTCAACTAATGACTGCTGCATAATCAACTGCAAATGAACACATCTGTCTAGCCTCTCAGTGTGATGGTAACCTCATAAGGCCGTCACGTTGCATGATCAGCAATAAGCCTGTAACATGGTCTTTCTCTCAGTTTAATGTTGGTCAGCAGAAGGTGGCAGTGGAACGTGAATGACAATGCCAGTGCGACAAGCAAACAGACATCTCATCTTTTTAAAATTAGATCTAATCAAGTTAACCTCCCTTAGTTACAAAGTTAGTAGCAAGCTAACGTGGGATAGTTGGTGCTAAGCTAGTTTAAACATGTTTGCTAACTGTCCAGGTGCCTGAATTTGATGTGGTCGATCCAGCATTCTTAATTTTGATCCCGCACATGTATGATTTTTTTGTTTTGGCCTTGTCAGAAGTTATTTTAACCAAAGGTTATGACAAATGTCACAGCAGCAACGTGGTGTTGTTGCTGCAGCATTACAGTAATCTGTGGCTGTGTACCATCTCGTCAGACATTTCCTAAATGCACCAAATAAATAAATAAAAAAAGGTTGTAAATATTATTCACTGGTCCCAAATCACAAATCCTTTTGAGGATGAGTCTGAAGTCACTGTGTGTGCGAGTCAGAGTCCAAGTCACAAAGTCGAGTCCCCATCTTTGGTGTTAACACCCTGCTAACCCTCGCCCTAACAAGCCACACATAAAAGCCCTTTTCAAAAGTCACATCTGTTTCTGGACATATAAAATCTGCATTAAGAAACCACACTCAGTTTTTTGTTTTTCTTGTGTGTGTATTTTCCTTCAGGGTGGTGATTGGGGTGATGATGGCGTGCTGCTCTTTGAGCCCCACACTCGTTCAGTGGCCTGCATGGCGTTCTCCAGGGCTCATCCCACCCACCTGCTGAGCCTCAGCTATGACGGATCTCTACGCTGCATGGATGTAGAGAAGGCTGTCTTTGATGATGTGAGAACTTTTTGGAGTAAGCACATTTACTGTACATTCAAAGTATACCCCTTCACCAGTTGACGTACATCTGTTTGTTCATTGATGTAGGTGTATGGCATTGAAGACGGACTGAAAACATTTGACTTCATGTCACATGACTGTTCAACACTAGTGGTTGGGAGCTGGTATGGAGAAGTTGCCATTGTTGATAGACGCACCCCAGGGTAATGAATAACTGTTGATGATGAGTAGTGGTTTTTAGCCTCTTTCCATAGTGCTGTAGAATAACAATATGGGTGAATAATTTAATCTATCGATTTTTATAAACATTGCGACATTGGTACATAATTTTTCTGCAGAAACTCCCATGAGTCCCTACATTCATTGGACCTCAAGGTCCGTTGTGTTAGCGTCCACCCTCTACAGAAGCAGTACTTTGCTGTGGCAGAAAGCAAGTATGTCTGATTATTGAATTAAATTTTCATAGAGAAAAGTTTGTTCTACATTTCTCTATCTACTGTCAGTTTGTCTTTTTGATTGTACTAAACGGATGTTTTGATCTTGTCTGCAGGGTAGTGAGTATTTACGACAGCAGATGCCTGAAGAAGACTAAAAGTCAGACAGTCTCCCAGCTGCATGGCCACTCTTTAAGCATAAACAGCGCTTATTTCTCCCCTTGTTCAGGCAACAGAGTTCTCACCTCCTGTATGGATAACTACATAAGGTGAAGCCGACACCGCGCTTTGAATTATTGTGTTATACTTGCTGTTATTTTTCAATTCCAGCTCACTGTCTGTCCTGAACTCTTTTTACAGGATATATGACACATCTGCAATGACCACTAAATCTCCCTTGCTGAAATCCATCGGGTATCCTCTTGTTTCACCGACTTTCCTGTTCTTTTGTCTCTTTTCTGTGTTTTTAGACGTGTGACCTGAACCTGTCTTATCAATCTTCATTTTCAGACATAACATGCACACAGGCCGCTGGCTGGCCAAATTGTCAGCTGTGTGGGACCCCAAACAGGAAAACTGCTTTGTGGTGGGGAGCATGATGAGGCCTCGGAGGGTGCAGGTGTTCCATGAAAACGGCCAGCCGCAGCACTCCTTCTTAGATGACGAGAACCTTAACACAGTGCTGTCCGTCACTGCTTTCCACCCCACAAGGAACGCCTTACTGGGTGGCAATGCGTCCGGGCGCCTGCATGTCTTCTCCGACTGAGATGTATGACCAAGACCCTCAGGGTGCTTTCAGTAGGATAGGAAGAACAAGTAAGGAAATAGTTTTGTCACAGTCAAGGTGTGAGAATAATGACAATGTTGTTACCAGTCTGTCGTCTCTTGCTTGTTCTCCCTGCCGGATCTCTGTAGAACTTTAACACAATATTGTCATAATTCTCACACTGTAGCTTAGTAACATTTCTGAAATGAAAAGATTATACTCATTAAGCCACTAGTCATGTTGATAAAGATGTTACAGTCTAAACATTCATACACTGTGAGGTAACACAGTATCATTAACAAATTTTCTTCCTCAATATTCACAGCAAAATACACATTTATTGCTACATTGAGTAGGCAGTGTCAAAACCATAGACCGGTCAGCCGTGATGCAACCTGCTCTTAAAAGAAATCCAGTGAAACGCATCTCGGCCTAAGAATTTGATGGAGCGTCTATACAGTTTTCATGTTTCCTTACAATAATGTAACACAGAGACTCGGTCATGTCAAAGGGAAAACAGATCTCTACAAATTATTCTACACTCAGTGGCCACACTACTAGATACACCTTTCTTATTTTGGGAAAGACAGGATTGTATCACACAGTTGCTGTACATTCACGCTGCGAAACCCCCGTTCTACAAAACCCTAAAAGTGCCCTATTGGAGTGAGATCTGGTGACTGAGGCCACGTGATAAGCTGATAAGATATTTGCAGTAATGAGCAGGTGTACCTAATTAAGTGGCTACTGAGCGTTAATTAAGTACTAATGTCAAACACAACTGTATTCACCCTTTTCAGCTTTGAGTCTACTGCATGTGGATATCAGCTTTGCACACACAGGACACTGCACTCCTCTTCAACCTCTTGTCACGTTGCACAGGGACTGAGTGAACAGCAGGGTACACTACAAATTGACTGAATTGAGGTCTGGGCTCCACTCTTGTGGATTTGTTGACTTGCTGGAAAATAAGTTAAGTCACTTTGCTCAGCGATTTATCTGCGTTATGCAGCATTAATTTTATTCACTCACCAAATGCAATTTAGTATGATGGCCAAAAAGATCAGTTTTCTTCCACACTGGCAAGCTTTTGGCAGTTTAACAGCTGTGCCATATGGTTTCCTCTTATTAATAATCAACAAGCGATCTCTCATTCAACTTATGTGAAAAATGCAGTTAATCAGTTACTACAGTTTTATACTTAATTTAGGTCAGTATGAAGACTTGTCCACTTTTGTTTGTGAATGTTTTTTTTTTTTGTTTATCAGTAAGAAAATTCCTAAATATATACTGATTGAAAAGAAAGTGAAGGGTTTGCAAGCACTTATTCATGCACTGTTAAGGTAGGATATGGTTGAATCTGGCCAAAAGTTTGTGTTTTTCACTCGCTTGCTGCTGTTTACTTTTCTGCTCTGATATTTGCAATGCGTTATACTCCAAATGTTTTACAGAACCCAAGCAATTTCTAAAATGGGTTCCCTCTGTTTGTTTGTGGAGCAGGGAATTCTAAACAGCAACACCATTTGTGCTGCTGTTTTACAATTGATGGTTAATTTCCTTTTTTTATGTTTTTCATAAAGCAAATCTAATAAATTGAGAAAGTTTTATACTAAACATTCTGAGTGTGAATGCTTAATTTCAGCAGTGGCAGTATTATTGCCACCTTAAGATGGCAGCATTGACTACAGTCAATTGCATTCAAGCATGGATCCTGAAAAATGTCATAAGCTGCTCATCTGGGTTACCATGCTGACTGTTTGTTTCTTCTGTGAACTCAAGATTGAACTTGTAGCCAGACTAGCTGCCAGATGTCAAGAATAGATTATATTTATTCATAAATAGAGCACACCAGTCCTCAGTCAGTGATTGGAAATAAGCAGTCTTGTTTGGAGGTAATAAATGCAGAACACATGCTTACAGACATATCCATGTGCAGGGATATGGTACAGGAAGGAAGCTTACACTAAGACCACATCTGAGGCCTTTTCCTGTTTACATGATGCAGTAAAATGCGTACAAGTGTTGCCTGTCAAAACAACTGTGACCAATCTTTGTCACTATGCCAGTCCAAGTGATATGAAACAGATTTTAGCAATCCAAAAAATATATATTGAGCTGTTGCAAAAAGAAATATTCAGGTAGTTGAATATGCTACTTATGCTGTTAGAATTAAAATACAAATTGCTCCTCCAAACCTGTTCAGAGTCAATTGAAAATGGATCAACTGTCTGATGTGTTCACGTCATTTACATGTACTTTCACAAGAAAACTTGCTTCTACTCGGTTTCAATAACTTGAGTCAAGGATTAGGCAACAACCAAACAGCATGTCTAGCAGACAGACAAATATTAGTTTGCAGTTTATGGTTAATATTCATTACATTATCTTTAATATTTATTGCTCAAATTATGTAGTAAAGTTTTTCATACCATGAATCTAAATTGGGACTATAAAGTACAAATGATAGGTATAGATAAGTAAAAGTTAATTTTCTGCTTGGACTGGCCTTTTTTTTTCTCCGCACATGAACTAACACATCAATCAAAACCACAGAGCGCATCTGAATTAAAGCAAATACATCTGTAATTTATCAAGTCTGAAAACAAACCACAAAATATGAGGGTATCTGATCTTGAAAATATCAATACTGTGCAAAAGCGAATCTATATTTTAAGCCTAGATATTTAATACTACAGGGATTCTGAGTACTATGTTCATGTTAACTTTCAACCTGTGGATTTCTTTAGGAAGGATTTGAATATTAATACATCAACTTTCCAAACACCTGCACATCCTAAACCTTTCAGCAAATCACTTTCCCAAACCATCTCTGGTTGCATAAAACATAATTTTTTAAGGTATAATGTTGCTGATCAGCCTGTAATTACCACTGATACACAGCACATACACTTCCTAACCAACTACTTGTAGGATACTTAAGAGGAGCAATTGTTAACTGTCACAAACTGACTGGCTCTGTGCTGTAAAGACGCACTGCAGGCTAACCTGTGAAATAGCACGTATGTAATAAGGCTGGTGAAGGACAGCAGACTATCAGAGTTTTCATCTGTTGACACAAACTGACTGAATATCAGACAACAGAGGTTTCTTTGGTAGGTGTGATAATGAAGATTACAGTAGGACATAAACATGACTTACTTAGGCTGTCTTGTAAGCAGGGCTGAAAACTATGTATCTACTGTAAAAAAAAAAAAAAAAAAATGCTTCAAGTCCATTAAAAGTCACTGAGTGAGGAAAATATCCATGTGTTAACAAGACATCAGTTTGTACAAAAATGGAAACATGATTTAAATATATTCAGCCTTCACAGATAAATGCATAAATTTGAACACAGCAGGACTAAACAAAGTTAAATGACCTTCACTCAACATGTGAACTTACAACAAGCTCTCTTAATCGGGTACTGTGGGGAAAATAGCACTAGTTTTTGCACTTTACAAAGGTAAAACAAGGTCAGATTTCCCTTAATGGAAAGGATCTTGTTGGTTTTTTTATATTAACAGTATTGCACATCAAGATAAACTCCATCTACAGAGTGTGGGAGGCAAAGAGCTAACCAAACACTTCACTATCACTACAGGACTAACTCAAATAGTCCCATCACCTTTACAACTACTGTAAAAGTAACTACAGCAAAGTGACAACTGCTCCTTACACACAGAAGTTGATTGTAGCTAGTAGCATTATTTGGCTGCTATGGTATAAAATCAGTAAACCTACCTCCTCCATTACTTACTTATGTCCTTACAATTTATCCTTAATATATAGTCACTGGATGACAAAACTTTATCGGTGCTCTAACAGCTGGACAGAAACGGTAACGTGAGAACACTGTTAATGGACGTCCGGCCACATATTGTTATAACAGTAACAATGATTCAAGCCAACAGATCAGCAGCAACATCACTCCTGAGTCAAATACATACTGCAACACATTTTTAGCATTTGTTTAAATTCAATATACTAGATGTTGGGTTGTATAACACATCAGGACAATTCAGGAAAGTTGTCCATCATTCAAAGGTGCATTTATTATTTTTGCAACTCTTTCCTGTGTTTTAACACTCACATGTGTCCCTCTACATGGCCAATTCCATTTTAGAAAACTTTAATATTTGCAAATATTATTTGTCTCAGGATTGATCTACATTCATTACTGCTTAGTTTTCCATATCACACTTTCTCTAACCCTCAGATACTGGTACAACTCAACTTTACAATCTCAAAGCAGCGACCATAGTAACATTTCATCATAATGAATGTTACTATTGGTTTGAACTATGAAAATTAGATGAGCTAGAATGGGCCCCCATCTCATCTTCTCTCAAAACTTTACTCAAACTCTCAGGTCACACAAAACACACCCCACACATCAGGTCATTCTGCCTTACAATGATGTTGCAACATATAAATTAATACAAAAATAAAGGCAACTATTTTCTGTGGTTGAATAGGTGAAGTCTTTCAGACTTGCTTGTCCCTTTCGGTGTTTAAATTAAACCCTGTTACTGTGACTGTGTAAAAAATAAAATACCTTGAAATGACCTGAATTACCAAAGTAAAATGTGATTTCCTTTCCTCGCAGTGATGGTCAAACAAACAAGGCCCATCAGGGGACAGTACGTGGCTTGTGACAGGAACTCCTTCCTGGGAGAAGCTGACTTGATAATCAGAATAGGGCTGCCGTCCCACCGTCTGTGTGTGTGTGTCCCCTGTGTTGTGTCATTCAGTTTCTGCATCTTTCACTTTGCTTCACTTGCTGATGAGAAAACCTCCCATCCATCGTAACTTACAGGCGAACCAGCGCCGCAGAGGGCAGAAGTATTCAAAGTGGAACTGCTGGAATTCAGGTGTCTTGCGGATGTCTCTCAGGAAGGCAATGTCCAAGTCTGACTCTGTCAGCATGATGAGGAGCAGCAGCAGGGCGAACAGCAGTCCGATGGTAACGAGGAACAGCCGTAACACGCTCAGGATGAACTTGTTCAGCTCCTCTACATCGCTTGGTGGTGATGGCCTGCTCCTGATCATACGCAGTCCTCTCCTGCCGGAAGTGCAAGCCCCTGCTTGCCTCTCCTTCGATGCACCTGCATCTGGCTCCTTCTCCTCATCGATGCTGCGGGGAGCTCCATTGAGGTGACGAGCCAATGGCATCTCCATCCCGTGTTCGGCCACAGGTGTGGGCAGCACGCTGTCCGAAGGGCTGTAGGCCTCGTCAGAGATGATTGCAGACGTGCTTGCCTCACTGCCGTCCACCATGTGGCCCCGAGAAGACATAAAGGAGTCCCCATGGGAGACGGAGCGCACAGGCGTGGAGTGGGCGCTGTCTCGAAGGGACTCCAGACCTGAAAACACACAGCAGAGGAAGGCAGTGCATAAGGGAGATGTATATCTGGGAGGTATTGTTGCATGACACATTCACATTTGATGAGAGATTCTGACGTGGCTTTCTTATAACTTAGACCCAACGAGACATGTAGGATTTAAGGACACGCATGTTACATTTCATTTCAAAAGGTGTACTTTCTCTATGTAAAAATGGAACTACAAACAAAATCCGGTAATGTATGAGGAAAAACTGTATTTAAAGAAAACACTACATTAAATAAACTTAACAGCAACTCATGCTTTTTTATGAGGCGACCAGACTGGGAATACAGTCTCAAATATGTGGTTGGAATACATACCAGATAATACTGCATATATAGCATTGAACTATTTGTGTGCTATCACAGTGACAAATATCTAATTGATGAAGAGACCTCTAAACAATGATAGTAAACAACGGATACAACGGATAAGAAAAGTAAATAGGATGAAAAGAATGTACTTTTTTCCATGCATGTGTGCGTGTGTAGTGTGTTTATTGCCACTTTTAGGTTAGTGAAAATACAGAACAGCTCCAGTTTCAAATGATCCAGACTGTGAATCCCTGTGATATTGTTCAAATAAAAATATATATTATTCTAAAGCACAGTCAAAATGGTACATTTTAGATAAATAAAAATATAATGTTAGAAGTAGACATGGAAATACTCAAGTACAATTCAAATAATTAAAATGTCACAGAGAAATCCACCTCTTAAGGTTTCAAGTTTCTCTGTCTTACTGCTTGACAACATTTGCCACAGCACTTATTCTAATTACAGTAGTGGTAGACTCTTCATTTGTTTCTGCGCACATCAAACTTTAACATTAGGTACAGCATCAATATTTGGCTGGCTTGCCCGGCTACCAGAATATTCAAGTACTTGTTGAATACTGTGCCAACATTATTATTCAGATGTGAAGCATGAGCTGTTTCTAATGGTCAGCTTGTCATGACCCATGCTCAAGAAACTGATCCTGTTCTCCCGTCATGTAATCTGAATGTCTAAATAAAATTTGGTGGCAACTTAAAGGAAACACAAGAACAACATCCTCTAAGAACTGTGACAGCACCGCCTTGAAATATTTGGCTCATTGTTCAAACAATCTTCTTCAAGAGAAAGTTGATATTTTTCAGAGCTTCTCTTTTCAAATCTGGCTTGACAGAAAGGCAGAACTCTATAATCCAGCATGACTAAACCAGCCCCAGTTTTTACCTGCACAATTGGCTGGTGGTCTGCAGCCATGGAGTTGGGGTGGGACAGCTAGCCTGGAAAGAGTCCTGGCGTTCTGTCCCGACCTAGGACCAGAGCCTGAGGTAGAAGAACCCTCAGGGAGGGCAGGGAAGAGCGGTAGGACCCCCAGTGCCTTGCCGAAGAGCCTGGGTCCCAGAGAAAGCACGCGCACCTTCACATCTCGATAGCAATGGTTAACCATACGCAAGTGAACGTTCACCTTGGTCTTGATGCAGATCAGACACTTCACCATGATTCGAGGGGAGCAGAAAACACCTGTCTAACCCTATCTGTGTTCTCTCTTTTTCTTTATCCCTGTCTTTCTTAATACCGCCTCTCCTCTTTCTGTCTTCCTGACGTCTGTCTTTGTCTCCGACTGCGGCTGGCTTCCTTCTCCACAGCAAGCTACCACATGCTGGCAGGCAGTCTGACAGCGGTAGAAACAGAAAGACAGACAGAGAGTGAAAGACAAGGCCCAGGAATGTGGTCCACTTGGGCCACAGTTCACCTCGTCCCTCCCTGCCGTCAGCTGTGACACTAACGGCATGGCCCCTGACAGCAGGAGCTATTTTCAGGCTGAGATATTATTACCAGTGGAAATACCAGCACAGACAGAGCAACAGGACAAAACACAGGGGGGTTGTTTCAGTGTTGTAACAGTGGGATGCAATGTCAGAGCCTTCTCTCTATGGCAATGACAAGAAGGGGGCTAGTTTGACCTTTTTTGTTGGGAACAGACTATGCTATAAGTTTTAGCCCATCTGATTAACTGAGAGTAAACTTACTCACAGTTGCAGCATAGGCAAAAGGTTACTTGCCTGTTGTGGCAAAGAGGAGACAATAAGTGCCCTTTATAAACTGATGATGTCAAAATAGCTCAAGTAATTTGGAAAATTTAAATTAAGATCTGGGCTGGTATTTATCAAGCTTCTCAAAGTGCCATTTTAGTCTTAAGTGCTGAGAATTCATAAAATTTACTCCTACTTTTAAACTTAGCAAGCAAGCAAGTTATCAAATTTCTCAAAGCTGAGAATCACTCTTACTCTACCAGTTATTTAAGACAGCTCGAGAGGTCTCTCAAGAGGGTAGGTGCTGCCAGTAGGGGCTTGTGATGGCACTGTGGAAACAGACATGCGGAGAGGAAGAATTCTGATGACGTGCAGTTACAGTTTTTTGTAACTGTTTTTGGTCAAAACTGAAGTCACATTGTCAAAACTCTTCACAACGAAAGCGAAACAGAAGTGTATTGTGGACCAACTGTGAATAAATTTTCATTGCTTTCACACAAAATGCATTCAATGCAACTGTTTTCTCATTACTACTTCACCACCTGTAAAACACTGTATATCTGCAGCACATCATTTCATTTCAAATACTAACACACTGCGTCCAAAACTGTTAAAAACAGATGGTCAATGTACTGCATGTCTGCAGTGACCAGATTGAAATAAATAGAAAATCTTAGAACACAACACAAACACAGCTGATAACAATTTCAGTTGAAAGCCTACCCAGGTGTCCTGTGTTTAGTCTTGTTACCACACAGACAAAAGGGGACAGCTTCAGATGGCAGTAGTTTCAAAACATGGATCAAGGAAGGTTGGTGGGGAAAGAAGAGTGGCAAGGGCAAGGGCAAGGGCAAGGGCAAGGGCAAGGGCAAGGGCAAGGGCAAGGGCAAGGGCAAGGGCAAGGATTCGTGGAAGACAAAGTAGAGGAAAACCAAGAGCGGGGGTCTCTGATGAGATAAGGGCCACAATTATTGACTATGTTGTAAACCATGGTCTCTCTTTGAGAGAGGCTGGTTTAAGGGTGCAACCAAATCTGCAGCGTTCAAAGGTTGCATCAATAGTACGGATTTTCCGGCAACACAACAGGTGAGATGTGCATCTTTCAATGATAATTGAACTACATATTACGGTACAAATCAGTATGTTTACATTTTTACATGTACTGACATTTTACAGTAAAATTTGATTGTTTTGTGTTTTACTGTGGGAGGCAACCTTTGTATCCCACAGTAAAACACAAAACAATCAAATTTTGGAGGGAGAGGTAGAAAATTGTCAGATGTGCAAGAAATTGCCACTGTTGAAATGGTAATTGGCAACAATGCAATAAAACTGCGGGAAATTCAGGACAGAGTGCTGGCAGACAATATCACTTTTGGAAATGTGAATTCGGTCAGTACAACGATAATTGCCAGAGTCCTGGAGAAACATAAAATAAGGACGAAGCAGTTGTACCCTGTACCATTTGAGAGAAACTGAACGTGTGAAAGAACTCCGTTATCAATACGGAGAGGCTCATGTCTTTCCTTGATGACCTGCATAATCACCTTGCGCCAGCGGAGGAGAGAGAAGCAAGAAACTCTCCTATCTCTGTTGTTGTGTGGGATAATGTGGCATTCCACCACTCTGCTGCAGTTACAGACTGGTTCGCTGCACATCCCAGCATGTCAGGACTGTTCCTGCCTCCATACCCCCCCTTCCTAAACCCCATAGAGGAGTTTTTCTCTGCATGGAGGTGGAAGGTGTATGACCACCATCCACATGACCAGATAACCTTACTGGATGCCATGAATGCGGGATGTGGAGACACTTCTCCTGAAGACTGCCAGGGTTGGATTAGACATTCCAGAAGATACTTTCCAAGATGCATCGCCAGGGAAGACATAAGATGTGATATTGATGAGAACTTGTGGCCAAATGTAGCAGGGAGGGAGGACTAGCACCCACAAGTACTGTACATAATGAGTTTTTGAGGTGTTTCTTGTTTGCCCTGGAATTCCAGAAATTTGTGGGGGGGTTTTTGTTTCAACTTACAGTAAAATCTTTCAGTTTACAATACTATCCACAGATATAGAACAAATAAAGGATATTGCTGCATTTCTGATGCATTCTTGTTACATATACTTTAGTACCGTCAAAGTGAAAATATGTTATTATATAATGGAAACCTCATTTATTCGCTCACGCTTCAAAGATAAAAGTCCTTCCTTTATGTAATGCTCCCTGTTTTTAGTGTGTTGTAGGTCAGTGTGTTATGAGTGAGACTCTATGCTTTCTAAATGAGAATTGTTGCCAGTGTCTTGGCTGAACGAGTCTATTTTGAGACTTGTACGAAGTGTTTTGGTGGTTTGAGTGACTTTTGGAGGTCAGATTAACTGTTTGGCCAAGATACATGTTAATGCAGACTGTGTGAAGAGTTTTGAAAAAGTGGCTTCAGTTGTGACCATTGCGTCTTAGCAATTGGTGAAAAAAAACTTAATAAAATGGGGTCGGACAGCCCAGGCATAAACTTTGTCAGCGAGTTGGTGAGGGATGTCATCTCACCACTGACTTTACGCAGTAATGCGTTTTCAGTTAAATTGATGGTGGAGATAACACTTCGTTTATTTGCCACAGGACAAACGCAGCAATGCTGATGATTTTGGCCCGTCACAACCATCACTAAGCTGAATAGTCATGGAAACAATTATAACACTTCCCAACAACACCCCCCCGTAATCCGACAGAAGCAAACACAGTTCATGCAAATAGCCAGCAGTACAGGAGGCGCACTTGATGGCGCTCATCTAAAGATAAACTTTTTAATTTATTGATGTGTAAGCCTATATCATAATGCATTATCTTAAATTCTTTATTGTTAAATGTGTGTTGAATATAAACTCCTCTTAGGAATTTCACCATTCAATGTGAATTTATCTAAGAATATTCTTAAAGAAGGAAATCTATTCAGAGATTGGTCCTTTTGCGACATCGTCATCCAAAATCCTGTTTGCGGCACAGCAAAGTGTCGTAATCAGCACTAAGACTGACACTTAAGATTTAGTCCTACACTTCACTCAAATTAGGACTATGATGGTTGATAACTAACTTTTAAGCACAACTTTGAGCCAAGAATTTTTTACTCTTAAGTCAGTTCTTAGCAATGTTCTTATGAGAAATTCTGAGAAGCTTGATAAATACGGGTCCAGATTTTTATAAGGAAATCCGCATACTGAGTCAAGCTGCCCCTGAACACTATAGTGCTTGAGAGTGCATGAAAACTAGTTAGCTAGTGAGCAGAGCAGTCAAAACAGTTAGCTAAAAGTAAATCATTTATAAATGTTTGAAGTATATGGCTAAATGTAATGAATAGACAATAGTTAGATGAAAGTGATGGAGTGAAATAGTTTGCTGATAGTACTGGATAAATGGTGAAACGTCTAAAAGTAAGAAATGGATGAAATAGTTAGCAAAATGTGAAAAAATTAATTCAAATGAACACATTTGTAATATGATGGGTGGTGTTGGATAAAGTTGCACATTATGTATTGGGGTACGTCAGACCAAAAAAAAAAAAGGGTTGGAACCACTGGACTAAGAGACGCGCAGGCTTCCTGACACAATATCTGCTTTACACAGAGGGAAATGGCCTCTTGCTCACTCGCCAATGCAGCCCAGCCTGAGAACTCAGACCCTCAACCTCCCATCAGCCACAGTTTGTGTTTACATCATTTCGCTATTCTTTTGAGTGGGTCTTACCCTCCATGATGGAGATGTGCACAGCTCGCCGTCGGGTCCTGGGCACACTTGTCAAACGAGGGCCATGGGTGATGGATGGACAGCTCCTGCTCGGCACCATACCAGCCCTGGGCAAAGACACACACCCATATTCCTACATGACATATGCATGACACAATACATGACATGTAGCAATACATTAAATGCATGAATCATTGTCAACCCACATTTCAGATCATTTTAGAGCTGCACGTAATACTAAATAAAAATTCAGACCTGTGTATCTCAGGGGGGTCTCTCTTGATTTTGGCACTTTGTTCCATTACTTCTTTTGCAACCTTTCCACTGAGAAAACATTTAAAAAAAAAATTGTTAATGTGTCCTTCAGTAAGACATATTTTGCCGGTCTGTTCTTTAATATGCAAATATGTACTTAATATTTATAAGTTATGTATTACAAATACTTCGTGGGCATTCAATACCTGTATCTAAAGCGACTGCCCTTGAAGAATAGATTACTACTTGACACAGTGCGAACTTGACTCGACTTCTCCAGCCTGTGAGTTAATGGAAAGTGAAACATCATAAACATAATCACAAACATAAATGAAATGTTGTTCCTTTCTGCAGTTTTGTGTTTCAGGTCTTGTAACTCACTTGTAGAAGGCCTGATTCTCGACTCCACACTTCCACAAATGCTTACAGGCCTCCGGTGTAGGTGCAAAGTATGTCAGTATGATCTTCTTATCCTGTAACAAGTCCAGTACAGTAACTCATACATACCAGTCATTCTTCAACCAGACACCTTCAGCTGATTTTCAAGACATTTTCATCATGTGATGAGATCACGTGCTCTTGGCTTCAGGACATTGTTACTGATCAGCCGAAGCAACCCCCCTCAAGAGCTCTTTGGACCTGTAGAACATGCAGTATACTCTCGGTGGCTCTTTTGTCTACTAAAACCCATGGATAACACACATTTTTGTCTCTTCATTCCCCGTTTACTTCACCATTAAAGATAAATTACACTGGCTCCCCAGTGGAGCTCCACATGCTAGACAACATTTTAATAATGCATACACACATACCTCCTTCTGATTTGCATATATATGGAATGTCTTTGCTTCAAACTTGAGTTTGGTCACCTCCTCCCTGAGTTTGAGATACAGATACAGACAGAACAAAGGGCAGACAATTATTATGACAAATTTATAACCTGAAGACAAAGTGAGAATGCAAAATAAAGAGAAAGAGAGATGGAGGGAGGGAGGGAGGGAGAATTACAGAGACAGAAGGTTACGACAGAAATGGATAAAGGTGGTAAATAATTGTGGCTGAAAGCAAATTAATAAGACTAAGAGTGTTTCATTTCTGTGTTGAAAGGTCTAGACACATTGATTCTAGTCCCAGAAACGAATGGGAATAAGCTGCATGAGATTTAAAAAACAGATTTCTAAAAACAACACAACTTAAAGCAACTTCACATAGCCATTTTAAATGAAAGCTGTTGGTGGCTTTTACAGTAAATATACATTATATTGGACCTAATAGTTCAAATGATCATAATTTAAAAAAGAGTTGTGAGTGTATGTGGTGATCTGAACATTTTGTAAATACTTTTAAAGCTATTTCTTTTGTAACAGATGTGTATGGCAAAAGTCAGAGGGCATCATAGGACCTGGCGGTCGTGGCAATGCGCATGATGCCAAATTCCACCAAAGCACAGTACTGTTTCCTGGAGGATTGGTGTGAGTTTCATTGGAAGCCAAAAGTGCAAAAGCTTCATATTTTTGGTCTTGGCTCTGAATCCAACTTTTTAAATGATATTCTCTCAAGAAAAATTAATTGCACTCACATTCACCTATGTGTTGATCATTTTTGCACAATTTTAAATTGTATGCAAACACTAAATCTTTAATTCTTTCCCCACAAAGTTGCACATAGCAATATTTGGAACTGCTACTTTAACTGATGGGGTGTAGTGTATTTTTACATTAAATCCCTGTAGGATTAGGAATCTAAATCGAGAAGACAATTAAGCAAATATGAGATGTTTGGAACAAATAATTTGGATTCAGATAACTAGGATTTTGCCATGTAAGCTCTTTGGAGTCATTTTTCTTTTTCCTTTGCTGGCATCTTAAACAACATGTTCTGAAGCACTTTATGTTATTTAGAAGAAGAGTTATGTTGACATAAAAACTTGAAAATATGGACTTGAACGTTAAGCAGCTTGTTGACTTTGCACAAGCTGTTAATTAAGCGAGAATGTATATTCCTGAATGTTTTTTCTAAGTACGTTACTTCGTACACTGGTCTATATGGAGCTCTTGGTTTTGCTCACTAATGTGGGCATGCACATACACACATGCTGAGATCTAAATATGGTTATTATCTACCATCATGACAAGTTTATACTCACCATTTGAGGAAATGGACCCTCCTGTTTCCTTGCAGCACAGTGAATCCAAAAGGAGTAAAAGCCAGAAAAGCTGGGTTGCCAGACACATCCTAAAAGTCACAAAAACCCATATGTTTTGTTATTCTAGATTGCTTTAAATTTCCAACATCAATAAAGGAAACTCCAAGAGAGAAGTATAACAAATGCATTTTATGATGTACTTTACAGTTCACTTCACATTTACTCAAAAAACATACAAAATGACTAATTGTGTGAAACTGCACATTAAGTATAAACCTAACTTAAAAGCACAAGCTCATAATTAAAGAATACATTTGCTTTGTGAAGACCACCTTGCATGGATGAGGGTCCACTCCGTACGTCTCCAGCATCTGAGCCTTCTGGAGGAAGTTGAGCTCTGATGTTTCAGGACTCTGACCTCTGGGAGAAAAAAACAAGAAGTCAGTTAACTGGCTTCTGTCACAACCATCTGTCAACTGAGAGGACATCATCTGAGTTTTTCACAATTGCTAAAACACTAAACCCCAGTCTCTGAACCAAAAGCTCAGTGGCCTAAACCCATTTGTCAAATTAGTCCCTCTTTTGGCAAAACCTTAAACAGGTTCAGGTAGTTAAGACACTTTTTGCAAATGTAATCCACTCTTTTTGCAAAACTCTAAACACATTCTCACTCACTAAAACATTGTGAATGTAGTTTAAAGACTGTGTTTAAAGCTTTGAGAATTTTGGGTGAAGGTTTCAAGAAATGTGTCTTAGCAATTGTGAAAAACTGTAATAAGTGGACTTTGAGTTTTTATGTGCTACAGAAAAAAGAAAAGATCTTCCCAAATAAGCCTGGCACAACCCACTTACTCTTCATCAGTACTCATTTAGGGAACCTAAAAAACACTCACAACAACGCTGCATTATTATTGTGGCTAAACACTTGTTTTGTAAGAATTACTTTCTTCATACAGCGCTCCACCAGAGAGTGCTCATCTGCCAGACAAAAACTGAGCAGGTTATCTTCTTCTGATAATCAGATATGGTCATTGTGTCGAGAGAAAGACGCTAAAGCTGACTCATTTTTCAGAGACCTGGCTGATCCTATTTGTGCCAGGTCAAAGACCAAAGCAGTAACCAACGGATACTAATCAAAAGAAATAAAGGATTAAATATCGGTCTGCTGTTTTATGAATCATTACTTATTATGAGTAGAATTAGTCATAGTCAAACAGGCTGGCTCAACTGGAGGATATACTGTAGCTCTTCCTTCTTTCCTTTCCTTCCATTATCTCTTTGCCACATCCAGAGTCTTTGTATCCTGGCAAATTCCTCTCTGTCAAACACAGGAGCAAATTTATGCAAGTAGGAGCTTCTTTCTGAACTTCTTTCTGTACTGAAACACAACTATGGGGAGATCCATCCATCCATCCATCCATCGTCAACCACTTATCCTGCGTACAGGGTCGCAGGGAGCTGGAGCCAATCCCAGCTTACACTGGGCGAAAGGCGGGGTACACCCTGGACAGGTACTATGGGGAGATGCATGGGATAATTCAAAACTGCTGTCATACAGGAAGGTGGAAGTCAGCGATAGAGGGCAGTGTAGCATCAAATATCTAACCAGTGTCTGTGTCCATCTGGATTGTATATAATATGTGCCTGCATATGTGTGTATGCGTGTGTGTGTGTGTTTAAAAGACAGACTAAAATGTAGACCAGAGAAAAATACAAAGGTTCTAACAAACAGGGTTAATTAAAGTTAATTATCTGCTAATGAATCAAACAAAGGTTACACAATATGGCCTAAGATCTATAAGCACTGGTAGAGCTCACCTCTGCACACTGGAATTTGCATGTAATGGTTCGGACAATTAAAAAAAAGTGTCTCATACCATCATCAATCTACCAGATTCTGTGGGGACTGTGACATCCCCACCTCAGGCCTGTCCAGCACACTAGTCATCACGTGTATGTGGGAGCAGGAATAACATCCAACACGGCCACCTCTACAACTAACCTTTTACTGCCAAAGGACGAACCATACAGCTTCCCAGCAGCCCAATTTCTCTCAAAGGTCCAAAGTGCTCAAAGAGAGAACAAACTTGCAAAAAATATCCAGAAACAAAAAGAAAAAATGGGAAAGGTATCACGTTGTGTGAACTGTGCCCAGTCTATTTGAAGTGTCAGCACCACTAAGGGGAACAAACTCAAATTCACCAGCACTGGCTTCTGGCCACTGTTTGCCTGAGGCAGGGCCCTCCAAAACTAGCGCATAGCAGGGAGCACCATGCCGGCTCAATGCTGAAGTCCGGAGAATGCTGCAGACTGGTGCGTTTAATGGCTAGGCCAATGTTCAATGTGTACAGTAGCAATCAGAGTCTGCACAGAACCTGTGCATAAAAATATCAGTGCACTGTTTTACAGGGGTGGTTGGGTGTGCAAGTCTTTAGAGCCCATTTGAAGGCAAAGCCGGTTAAACAAAACAGTATTCAAAAAGAAATCATACACACACACATACATACAAACCAGATATACAGAAGTGAATACTCAGCGCGTTAAGTAGCTATGAAATTTCAAACCTATAGCTCAGCATATCTTATCAGATTACTTGCAGATGTGCTCTGAATGTGAGATGTCCTTTTTTTGGTTGGACTGTTAAAAAATACTGTAATAATATAATATTGTACTGGTTGTGAAGAGCGGTCTCCAGTTTATTGGTGATGGATGGAAAGTTAGGAATATACTACAACTCAAACCCACTGCATCGGGGTTGCACCCATAATGAGAGTTTACACATTGGAATATGAAGACTTAAAACCATCACAGCAGTTGTTCATTTTAGTTTCCCATGATTGACTTATGAATTTGATAATGATAATCATCTTTATCATACAATTTTACACAATGTACAATGCATGCAGAATTTGTTCTCTGAATTTAACCCATCCTAGATAGGAGCAGTGGGCAGCCATTGTGCAGCACCCCAGTTAGGAATTCAGGGCCTTACTCAGGGGCACCTTCGGCAATTGTTCGTGCTGGACTTGAACTGGCTCCCAAGCTAAGTCCCCAAGGACTGAGCTAATGCCGCCCCAGGCAGATGAAGTGTAAGAGCTCAGTATGTAGGACCCAACAGTTGGATGTGCTTCTGTGATACCTGGAATGTGGCTGCTATGGCCATGCTATAAGTGAAAGAGCACAAGGGAACACGGACAGGTGTCACCTTACATCAGCTCAGTCTTGTGGATCTCAGCAATCCGCCGCTCCAATTTCTCTGAGTGCTTGGGGAAGAACTGGAACTTGGAGCTGTAGCCCTCTGGGTGTTTGCCAGGGTCGTAGTCACCAATTTCAGCTGGAAAATTGGAGAAAAGACACAGCAAAGGAAAGGTCAACTTTGATGTTTGATGTTAACTTTTTAATCTACTTACGTCATTTGAAATGCAATTGCCATGTAAAACATCATAGCTGTCATTGGCTGGAAGTAGTTCCAAATGCACCAACATGTGAACATTTAAATAATATTTGATGCATACAAAACAAGTGTTCATTAAATATCTCCAGGCTCGAGCAAATGGTGATAGTGGGCAGATGATTCATAGGTTGAGTACAAAGTAGCTGCAATTGCGAAACATTTTTTGAAATAAAAAAACATCCCAGTAATTTCTTATAATCAAATTTTTTATATTTGTATTCAATTACTGTACCAAGGGCATTTTGCCTGGTGGTCCTGATAAAACCCAAAACTGTAGTGAATGGTGTTCAAAAACAGTGGCTTAGCATAAAGACACAAAAAGACAAAAGCACACAGTACAAATTGGCTCCCCAGGCAAGAGAAGTCAAGGTTTTGAATGCAACTGTGCACAAAAAGGCTCACACAAAAACATAAATTGCTGTGCATACTGAAAAGTCCAGGACTGATGGACTCTCACATAACTCTCAGAACTTAAACAAATACACAAACAATAAATCAATAAATCCTTTGTCTTTATACATTAGTTTTTCAGGTGGAATGTGTGTACCATCAACAATATCTGATTCCGGTTCTCTGCATCACTGTACCCAGCTTCAGCAGCCTAGTTAAATAACCACTGACATCAGATTGCAAACAGTGGAGGAACTACATGGAGAGTTTGGCTACTTGCCTGCTCTCTTGGGAGCATTGTGCTGCTCAGGCAGGCAACCCTACATCTTAGACAGCCCAAAACATTCCAGTTTATCCAGGGAATAGACATTGTGGATTTATTTATTTATTTGCATCCCCATTAGCCACTACCATGGTCTTCCTGGGATTCACATTTTTTGACATGCTGTCAGTGTGAAATATTGCTTACTATTGGCAGAGACACCTGGTGAAGAAATGATTTACAGAAAGGGAAGGCTCAGGCAGCCACTTATGTGGCTACAAGCTAAGATTTAACTTAACTGGTATTGCCCCTCTTCACCACTCTCTGTACTACCTGTGAACAAATATATGCAAATCGTTAGCAAGTACTGGAGTTTTCACCAAATTTTCTTAGGGTGTAAATAAATAGATGAATAGATTGATATAACTCTGCATAGATACATATAACAAGCATGCCAATATTGGCCAATGTCTTCCAATATACTGATGCCTGTGGTGTTCAGGGCCACTTAATGACGCCAAGAACATTTAGATTCAGGGATATGCTGAGAGAAGGTCTGGCAGGATTGCTGGTTGGCACAGTGTGTGACGGGGAAACGGTACCTTAAAGCATTTCAACTCTCTGCATGTTAATGAGCCTCACCCAAAGGAGCCTGTCAAACAGAAACCCAGGAACTTCTCCACCTATCAACTTTTTACAAAACTGTCAGATTATCTCAAAGGGAAACATACTGGCTCTTCCATTGAATCTCTTGGAGAAATCATTGTGTCTAAATGACCTTTTTATGTTGCTTAGGGTTGAATTCATTCAAGATAACAACAACAATTTCAGATTCTCAAGGTCCGCATCAAACAAAACAAGAGCAGTATGAGCCTTCAACCTCTGAACACGTTCTGCTTGCACATTTGCACACACCCACGCAGTAAAGTACATATATGGCAGAATGTGCACGCACACACAGAACACAGCTGGTAAGTGTTTATTAACAAACCAGGGTCATATGGAAATCATAAAGAGTCTACAGACAGTTACAGACATTATGAATATCATTCACAGTCATATGTAGAAGACACACCTCTGTCAGAGGAAATATGGTAAATTATGTACAGTTGTCGTTTGGGGTGAGGACTCCAACATGAGGACTGTGGAAGCTGAGGGTAGTCAACACTTAAATTAAATCACGTAATATTTGATCAAATCAACCTGTGAGATATAACATTTCATTTAGCTCAAATGCACCAGTCAGAGGAGGCCATAGCACTGCTTGGCTTTCTGGTCAGGGTGGCACATATGTCCAGTGTGATGACATCTGTGTTTGTTTGAGAGAATTTAAAATAAAGTCACAGTAGTGGGGTTGAAAGACTCCCTATTTTGTCATACCTTGTAATATGTAGGCAGCCAAAAGAGCAGCATCTGATGTCTTGCACAGGAGGCGACCATGGTAGAGGTCCCTCTTAACCTGCAGGAAGACGAGATATCTGTGGAGTGGGACACAGAGAAACTGATTTGGGTCATTATTTAGATAGGATCAATATCGACATACCTTTTCTTGGCAGCACAAACAGGGGATGTTTACAATTTAGAGGTAGTGTCTCTTGAGGCTGCAGTTGTGGCTCGGGGGACACCTTACTCTTGAAAGTCAGGGAGCCACCAAAGCTTTATGAATGATCCGTGATGGTATGACTGGCTGATCGACCGACTGACTAAACGATATTGCTGCTAGCATGATTAAAAATTAGATGACAAAATAATGAGCATGTATGTAAAGGGGTTACTGTGCAAAAGGGCTGTTCTTAGAAACAATAAAAAAAGTCATATAATGATAGCTTTTGAAGCAACTGCCCTGTGTTTACTAGTGGTTATTACAGATAAGCTACAGTACCTCTACACAGTGAAATGTGTAGATTACTCCAATACTCTAGGCCCTTTCACAACCCATTTATAATTAATCTATAATTACAACAAAAAAAAAAGGAAAAAATGTATGATGTTTCTATTGGAACTTTAGACACGGGACATGCAGCCAACCTCAAGGCAGAAGCCGAGCTAAAGCATAATCATTTTGAGAATTGACAATGATTTAAAATATGACTGCTGATAAGCACTGAAGTCCTGTGGGAGCAACTCAATTTTCTGGTCTTGTCCACAACATCCACAGATTACTCATATGTCAATTTTCCCGCCCGTTATTCGGCTTCCCTCCAAGCAGCAAAGCAATAAATAGTATAGCAGTACTAAGCATTGCTGTACTGAGCTTTTTACACTATAGAACGCCCAAGTTATCACCTGATGATATTACCTGATGTCTGCAAGTTATATGTAACTACACACTGTGTTCATTTGTATGTAAGTGTCGAAGTGTTAAGCTTCATTTATTTCCTTCAGTGTGTTTATGTTCAGCTAGACAGTCTCACCCTGCAGCTGGTAGCAAGTCATGAAGCTGCACATGGGCATTTCTTCTGGATCCTGCCTACCTTTTTGTGAAATTATATATAAAGAAAATTAAAAGCTGAAAGCAACATAAAAATCTATGCAAAATGTTACATTACAAGCTTTTGCTCATTGCATTTGTGTGACGGTGAAAGCTTCCAGTCAGAACAGATGGTGTAGGATAGAGGAGCTCTCCCATGCGGGCGCTCTGCTCTATTAAGAAGGGCTGGATTGCGAATAAGAGATTTCACTGCGTGGCAACCAGTCGAGGGATGTGATTTACAGGGATCTGTGCACTCAGTAGCTCTCTGGCTCTCTCCTCACAGCAGTTTGTTCAGCTGTCAAGGATGCCACACACAGTATAGTAGTGGCGAGGAGCTTCATGACACTGCAGCTTATACAGAAAGGGAATAGTCCTCCTGCACACAGACTCACTGTTGAACTCTGGGTATTGTTATGAAATTATACTTGTGGTTGTTCTTTTTTCATTTCCATTCTAATTCAATACGAAATTCTAATTTAAAATACTGTACAATACTTCAGATTACCTTTTAGATGGTGATCTTAACTTGATAATGAAGAAGACAGGCTGCAGACATATGTTCATTCTTAACTTTCCCATGAGGATTACCACAGACATGCAGTATGTACTGAAAGGATTCTTAGTTCACACAAAAGCAAATATTTTTCCATAAACCTCTACTAAGCTGAAGTGCACATCTCCAATTTTCAATTATCAAGAAGTCGGCTGCGGAGGCATAAAATAATAACAGTAAAATATGAAAATATTTATAATACTTATTTTATGGGGCAAGAAAGTTAATAGAAAGGCACAAGATAGAGACACTCCCTTTGGTTCAATAAAGATATCAATATCTCCAGAAACCTAATTTATTTTATCTCTGCCATTTAGCTTTGCTCTATGTCAGCATTTTTACTTTGTGGTTATGACTTCCCAAGAAAGAGTGATGTATGATGTTATCATCCCTACTTAAGTGTAAGAAATTTATTAATAGTTAATCTATGTTTACTTTCTGTTTTTATAATGGCAGATATTCTAAAAACCAGAATCACACTTTACATGGCAGTCACAACTCTCCACTTTCTCAGCATTGAATCCACTAAAAACAAAGAAAAGACTTTATGGCTGACCTGAAATACAAAAAGGAACACAAATGTGCCTGTTTGGGTTGTGTGGTCTCGTGTGTTTTGGTTGGCTCCAAATGAAAATGCTAGCGGTTGACAGTGCAATTTCCTTTCCACATTGCCGGGTTGTGATTCATTTTTTCTTCTTCCCACTCTATCCTTTGAGTTTTGTAATTTCTAATCCCAGTTCAGTGTAATCGTGTAATCATGCTGAAATGTCTTTTGTATATAAAACAACTGACAAGTGATTACTCCCAACTCCCCTCCACGCCAGGGCATCACTTTTTCCACATTATTTTTTATACCACCAGTGAGTGGTCAAATAAAACAACAAGAAGCTGCAATGAATAACCAGAGCTGCAAAACCAGAGGAAAAACAATATCAGAAGTATTTCTAGGGATGTTCTGGTTGTCTGTGTAAAGGTTAGTGATTAAATGTTTGATTCAGAAAACTGTGTGCTTACTCAGCCCCTTAGAAAATACTGGTGCATGTTTCACTAAATTTGCATCATGCAAGCCATGATTTGCAACATGAGATCATTTCCTATAATTTTAATATTGATACATTTTACTAATCAAAGCAAAAGCCATACTAGTGACCCATGCATGAGAGCCCTTTAGGAAATATATCTGAAATTTGAAAGCAACAGTTATTTTTGTGAAACGTGACTCTGCCACCAATTGCCATCTGCATGTAAGCAGTGCTCGCAAATCACTGCTGTTCCCTTCTCTATAGCCTTTGGCAGAAAATCTGATGTCTGAATTATCTCTGTGTACACTGACATCATCAACATACCCTATTTAGCTTTTGGCCAAACTAAATGGTTGCATCACATGATGACATATTGTATTGCAAAAACACACTGATGACACATTAATTAATTACCCCTTCAATAAAAGTCCTTTAATGAAGGCATATGTTTGCAGATCTGAGGAAGTCCAACTACATATGTAAAAAAACAAAAAAATTTAATATAATCCTTTTGTGGCCCCAGAGGTGTGTGAAGTCTGATGAATTGCCTCAAGTGATGTCACTTGAGTCAGCATCGGTTGATTTGAAAATTTAAAAAAATCCGGGTGTCGCTACTGTCCATCGTGAGTCAGACCGTGTGATAGGAGAGAGCCATGTTGAATCAGTGGAGTATTCTTCACTTTAAAACAATGCTCATTTCTATAATTTGCATTTGTTATATGATTGCTTTGGCTCAGTTGGAAAAGCAAAACAAATCACTGACAAGGCATAAACAAGTCCCTTTTACAATGTGATCATTGGTAGACAAAGAGAGTCATGAGAGGCAAAGATTGTCAGAGTAAAATTTAACATCCATCCATCCCTCCCTCAACCCCACCCTCCCCACCTGCAACCCCCCCAGCTATGTTGAAACCTTACCTGGTGATTTCCTCTTTTAGGGCGGCAGGGTCGGGCGGGTAAAACTTGACACGTAGACACATGGTGAATGGAGGCTGGGCTGGGGAAAAAAAGGCACCCATTTAAAATCATCATGTATTTGTGTGTTTTTCTTTTTCTTTGTGATTTTTTCATGATATATTTAGTACACTATTCCTCTGGTCAAATTTGAACATTGGATTTGACCAACTTATAAGGCATGTTAAATTAAATACTTACATTTCATTTGTTTGGCAATTGACTTTGTAAACTCCAACCAATGCTGAAAGGGAGAGAAAGAGAAGTAAAGACCTGCACTTTGGACACTGAATCTTCAATTGCTAAACTGTCATTCTGGGGTCTGATTGCTCAACAACTGAACATGATGACTTGTAATCTATAGCTGGAAGGCACAGTAGAATTATTCCTAACTCCTTGCCTTCTGTTTATTTAGACCCCCTCCAACCCAGTCAGCTTGCAGAGAAGAGATGAAAGAAAGCTGTTTGGAAGATAATCAGGAGAGCACTGTTTTCTGTCAGTGCTACACAATCACGAGGAGAAACTGGCTCTAATCATTAAGATGAAGACATGCTGACAATACTGGGGCACTGCTCTCACAATACAGTGACTGTAACTGTGAAACACAATTATGCTGCAGTATGTTAGTTTTTAATTACTAACTTTTTACAAACACCTGCATTTAAATTTTCTTAAAATATCTCTCAGCTTGCTGATATCAACTACTAAAATGCAGAGAGAATCTGCAAAGTGAACAACTTTGTGATCCCATTCACAATCCAAAAGTGCAAGATTAACTTAAAACTAAATGCTCAGTCAGTCCTGCACATTCACCACAGACTGTATACATTTCTGTGATTGATATTCATATCAATCAAAGGGGTTTGCCTTTCGCCAGCTTGCATAATTGACCTGCAGCCCTACCTACCTGTTCTGAATATTTATGTAGAGGGAAAAACTCATTAGACCACTACGACCTGGCATTTAAACTTAAAAAGATTTTTTAAAGTATCCGTCACTACCTGTGAGAGTTAACTGATAATCTGCTGGAGAACCATGGACTCTATAGTGGCCACAGATGACTTCTTATCCTTGCATCAGCTTTAAAAGGTTTCCTTGGACCTTTTAAGATTTACATTTACATTTGTATAGTGTTATCTTCCTCAAAATCGAGTCTAGCCTGTTAAACACAATGCTGTATTACATTTGACAAGATAAAATGTATTTTATGGGATAAGATATTTGCTCTGTGAACTCATAAACTATTAGCTCATTCAAAGAAGAAAATAATATGGTTTGTGTGAACTAGTTTCTAATTCAAAGGGACACATGACTAAGTTGTGTTCACAAATAAACAAAAAAGTAAATCTAGGCTACTGGAAGTGGAAAAACTTTAAAAGCTCATATGTATCGTTGATGTTACACTATGTAACTCCCCTATTAAATGACAACATAAATTTTTAATGGTATAAATTTCTATTTTGAACATAGTTTCACTGTTAAAATCATTTTAGCTATTTCGTCTGAAGAATGACAAAATAAGATAAGATAAGATAAGATAAGAAAACCTTTATTTGTCCCACAGTGGGGAAATTGCGGTTTGAAACAGCAAAGACAAGAGCAGAGATAGATAAGTGTACAAGTAAGTACCGTTCTTACAGTAAATAAAAACAAAGTTACTGTACATTAAATAAGACTAAACAGACTATGCCTTATACAGTACAGTCTCCTGCGGCATAAATAAATACTGGTTACAAGTGTTGTAGAAGGGCAATGCAACAAATGAGAAACAAATGAGAAGAGAGGAAATAAAAGACCCAATAAAAGAAAGAAAGAAAGAAAGAAAGAAAGATGACATGAAAAGGAGAAGAGACCAAATCATGATGTAACAGAGAGACACCACCGGATGCAACTGAATTAAATCCAACTGAAATGTAGTTGGGTAATACTAATAACAAAGTAATTTCACACATGTATAAGGGTCTGTCACATCTTAAAACATATTCAACCTCACATATTAAAACTAAATGGGAGAAAGAAGGGAGGATAACTATATCTGGGGAAGAATGGGCAACAATATGGAGATATCAATGGAGGTGTACCAGTTCCCTGAAATGGAGGGAATTCGGCTGGAAAAGCTTGATAAGGTACTTTATTACACCCTCTCAAAAATCCCACTATGATCGCAAACCCCCTGCTTGCTGGAGAAACTGTGGAATCCCAAAAGCAAACCATTATCATATTTTTTGGAACTGCCCTATCATTAATAACTACTGGAGAGAAATACACAATGCCCTACAAGTTATTTTTAAATGCAAAATACCCCTAGAGAGTAAAATTATATTCTTTGGATATATACCTCAAGAATGGTCAAAAAAGGATAAAAATTTAATGAATGTATTACTGGTGGCAAGTAAAAAGTCTCTCACCAGGAAATGGTTATCTCAGGAAAGCCCAACTTTGAATGCATGGATGGAAATAACAATGAACATTTACAAAATGGAGAGGATAACAGCGTTTGTTAATCACAACTTGGAAAACTTTGCCTCACAATGGGAAAAATGGGTTAACTATGTAACACCCCATAGACCGGACTTTATTTTCACAACCTAGTAAATTAGGTGTTTTAAAAAGATCTCTCCCTATCTGTACATAGTTGTTCTTTTTGGTTTTGTTTTGTTCTTTTTCTGTTTGTGTCCTTTCCCCTTGTTGATATTACACATACGTCCTTCTGAGAAGCTGAATTTTGTAATTTGTGACAACGATGTGAATAGGGGTTATATGTGTACAGTTTTTGGATTACATTGTACAGAAACATGAGACCAATGTTGAATACCAATAAAAAAAGAATTACAAAAAAAAAGAAATGTAGTTGGGTATATTATTAAAAAGGAATACCTACCCTCTGCTTGTCTGGGTCAACATATCTTATGCCAAAGTAGTCTTTCTCCAGCAAGTTGAGATGGTGGCAGATGAGGTCGAATAGGTACTGTCCCTTGGCATCCCGCTGAAAGAGAAATAATTTGAGAAAATTAATATAATGTACTTGCTATTGAGGGACACTAGAGAGAGACAAGGAGAGAGAAAAATAGAAAACAACAACTTAATTTCACAGGACTCCACAGCCCCCACCCTTTCCATCCCAATGCATATTTACAGTTAATGAACCCCCAGCAGAAAATGGTTCATATATGTGAACACTCCAAAGTCTTCACTCTGCCCAGGTCGAGCAGAAACCAACGTCAAACAAAATGAAGAAGACATTTTAAAAACAAAGTGATAGTGTCAAATTATTTCTCCTTCTCATCATTTTTTTGGAGCCTCTGAGAAGTCAAAACGGCCACCAGAAAGTGTTTTAATATTTCATTACCCTCAAGGGAGATATATGAGGGCTATCAAATATTCATATCAAGGCAGCAACCATCTGTGAAAGCTTTGAGACATTTCTGCTGCAGAAAACGACCTGGAAACACAGTGAGACAAGGTGTGGGCGAATGGCAGGCTGGAGAGGAGAGAAAGCCCCTATCATGCAATGCAGTATAAAAATCTGACCATTTAAAAATTTGAATACTTTATACAGTATATCATTAAAGGAACTTTAAATACAATGTTTACATTTTTTGTTAGGTTATTAAAATAATAAGAAAATGAGTTAAGTTTTTCAGCTAACCAATTTCAAATGTAGCCTACTGGCTAAAAAAGCTATAAAGCTATAAAGCTGCATCTGCCCCAAAATGAAAACCTATTTTAATGAAGTCTTAATTTAGATTTAACTGCAATAAAGGACATGACAACAGGGGTGCCACTGAATGCATAACAGAACATCAGCCAGTAATTGGAGCTTTGGTTTGTTTGCATAGCCAGCAAAATTCAACTCTGAACTAAGTCACTGGCATCTATCAAAATAGTTATAGCCCACTCATAGTGGAGTACGCACAGATGGATGACGTCCTTTAAAGGTGGGGTAAGATATTCGAAACCAATACACGTCTTTTTGTCAAGTTCCGTGAATATCTCCTCACGGTCCCTAGCTGTCCGTTCTCTGTGTGCGCTGAAAAAAAAAATCTGCTGTTTGTATAGCCTGTTGTATTCTATATTTTTATATATCTGCTACTTTTTACCACTAGGTGTCTCTGTCGTAGAAGCAAGGTGGCTACTACTAAATGTACAATACAATGACGCTACTTAACACTGTATTGTGTTCTTCTGTTAGCCTGTTGAAGTAAATGTCGTTGATAAGATCTCTGCGTTTTTTATTCTTAAGCACACACTACACAGCTCTGACTCTGTAAATGGGAAACAATTGGTCTGCACCGTGCAACACAACAGTATACCAGTCAGGTAACATTAAATCACTAGCAAAGACAAGCTGTTTTTAATATAATAATAATAATAATAATAATAATAATAATAATAATAATAATAATAATAATAATAATAATAATAATCTTTATTTGTATAGCAATTTTCAAAAACAAGTTACAAAGTGCTTTAAGAAGTGTAAAGACAATAATACCCCAAAGATAATTATACAAAAACAATACAAGATAGAAGCAAGAAAACATTGAAAAGACTAAAATACACATTTAAGATAAATATAAAATAAGTAAAATAGATTAAAATAAAAGGGATAAAATAAAGTCAAATAAGATCGGGAAAAGCTCTCCTATAAAAGTATGTTTTAAGAAGGGACTTAAAAGAGTTCACTGACTCAGCCGACCTGATTTCCTCGGACAGGCTGTTCCAGAGCCCCGGGGGCCCTGACAGCAAACGCTCTGTCCCCTTTAGTTTTCAGTCGAGACTCTGGAACAGACAACAGACCTCTGCCCGAGGATCTCAAGGTACGTGCTGGTGTGTATGGGACTAAAAGGTCAGAAATATAACAAGGCGAGAGGCCATGAAGAGCTTTAAAAGTGATCAATAGAATTTTAAAGTCAATTCTAAAACATACTGGGAGCCAGTGTAATGAAGCTAAAATAGGAGTAATGTGGTCATATTTCTCCTTTGTTCTGGTTAAAAGCCTGGCAGCTGAGTTCTGGACAGTCTGGAGTCAATCAGTAGATTTTTGTGTTAAACAAGTGAAAACGCTGTTGCAATAATCCAGGCGTGATGAGATGAAGGCGTGTAAAATGGTCTCGGTGTCCTTAAAAGTTAACATAGATCGAATTTTTGCTATATTTCTAAGTTGATAAAAACATGATTGAACAAGCTTTGTGGTGTGCTGCTTGAAATTTAAATTACTATCAAACCAGACACCAAGGTTCTTTGCCACAGGCTTAATGTGATTTACTAGGGAACCAGCAGATGGCAGTATTTGTTTTGCCATCTGCTGGGACCCGATGACCAGGATTTCTGTTTTGGAGGAAATTATTTGACATCCATTTTTTTACTTCACAAAGGCAGTTGGTAAGTGAACTCAGCATTCCAGGGTCTGTGGATCTGATGGGCAAGTACATTTGTGTGTCATCAGCATAAATATGAAAATAAATACCATGTTTATGGATATGGATGTATAATATGTAGAGACATAGTTGTTTACAGAGACGCAAAACTTCCTATTATTGTGATGTTAGCTATAGTAGCAGGAAAGTTGTGCAGAGAGGACGGGACTGGTACCGTCCTCTCTGGATGTTAGCTTCAGTATGCTAACGCACAATATGCTAACCCACAACTTAGCTAACATTAGTTACATCATGTGCTGTGTCGTTGTTCGCTCTTTATCGTGGTATTTGTCATGTTGGGTTTTTCCAGAATTGCATACCCCACCTTTAAGGGTGCAACATATTAAATTAATAGCTACCTTGCTAATGAAATTCCAGCAAATTTCATCACATTGTATGATTGGAAGCAAAGGTAAAGATGGTATATCAAGATGACACCTTCAAGTTGGCTATCCAACGAAGGTTAAAGTCAAGGGCAACTGGACTTGGTTGAAGATACTAGAAGACGTTTCAACCCTCATCCAAGGGACTTCTTCAGTTCTGACTGACTGGTAGGGAAACTCAGCTATGTAACCTCAGTGGGGTCGTTTGCCAGGACCGTCGATACTGCTAGTTCATTAGTGTTCCTGGTTGTTGTGGCCAAGACTGAACGATCATCGTTGGCATCTTCACCTGAGGCCAATAGGTTACGTTTGTTGAGTTTCCTGGGAAGTGATGAAAGGACAGCATTGTAAGTGGGGGATAAGTGGTGGAGTAGACCCCCTCCCCTGTTCAATGACGGCTTCTCAACCCGGGTGTAGATGGCTTCCTTCAAACCATCCATCTTCTCTGTCTAAAATGTGCACCTGGTGGTCCTCAAACGAGTGTCCTCTGTCCTTCAGATGTAAGTAGACTGCAGAGTCTTGACCTGAGGAGTTGGCCCTTCTGTGTTGAGCCATGCGTTTGTGTAGTGGTTGTTTAGTCTCCCCAATATACAGGTCTGTGCATTCCTCACTGCATTGGACAGCATACACTAGATTTCTTTTCTTGTGTTTGGGTGTGCGGTCTTTGGGGTGTATCAGCATCTGTCTTAGTGTGTTCTTGGGTTTAAAAAACACAGGGAAGTTGTGTTTGTTGAAAATCCTCCTGAGTTTCTCTGATACTCCAGACACGTATGGAATCACAATGTTGTTGCGTTTGACCTTCTTTTCTTCATCCCCTGTAGTTTTGTTCTTCTTGGATCTTGTGGCTGTTGTCACAAAGGTCCATTTAGGGTATCCACAGGCTGTAAGTGCCCCCTTCAGGTGGTTCTGTTCCTTCTCTCTGGCTTGGGCACTTGTTGGTATGTTTTCCGCTCTGTGGTGCAGTGTTCTCATGACCCCTAGCATGTGCTCCAGTGGGTGGTGGGAATCGAAGAGTAGGTATTGGTCTGTGTGTGTGGGTTTTGTGTAAACACCAATTTGCAGGCTCCTGTCCTCTTCAATGTGTACAGCGCAGTCCAGGAAGGCTAAACTGTTGTTCTGAACATCTTCTCGTGTGAACTTGATATTACTGTCCACAGAGTTGATGTGTTCTGTGAAGGCTTGCACTTCCTGGCTTTTAATTTTGACCCAGGTGTCGTCCACATATCTGTACCAATGGCTCGGTGCTGTTCCCCTGAAGGAGTTGAGGGCTTTGTTCTCCACTTCTTCCATGTAGATGTTTGCCACAATCGGGGATACTGGTGAGCCCATGGCACAGCCATGCTTCTGTCTGTAGAATCCTCCGTTGTACTGGAAATAGGTGGTGTTTAGACAGAGGTCAAGTAATTTACAGATCTGGTCAGGGCTGAGGCTAGTTCTGTTGTCCAGGGTGTTGTCTTGTGTTAGCCGTTTCCTTACAGTTTCTACTGCTTCTTAATCCAAAGCAGCTGAAATGGTTTTAAGAAATAGTTCAGCATTTTGGAGAAAAAATCTTATTTGATTTCTTACCGAGAGTTTAGATGAGAAAATTGATATCTCTTATGTCTATGCAGTATATGAAACTGCAGCCGGTAGCTGGCTGGCTTAGTTTAGCACAAAGCTTGGAAACAGGGAAACAGCTAGTTTGGCTGTGTCGAAAGGTAACAAAATCCATGTACCAACACCACGTACATGGATTTTGTTACCTTTTGACAGCTAAGCGACTAAAGCTAAATAATTAACACATTATAATTTAGTTTGTTTAATCTGTACATTTCCTAGACTATTGCTAGGATGAGAGCCAGGTTATTTTCCCATTTCCAGTTTTTGTGCTAAGCTAACCGTTGTAGCCTTATTACTGGAAAGAAATAGCTTTTCATCCTTTAGTGGCAAATTAAACAATAAAATATCCTATAGTGCCCTTTAGAAGAGACACTGCATTCACATAAGTGACACAAAACTGCATAGTCAGAGAAAGTCAAAGGCAGATACATGAGAACGGAAGGGGGAAAAGAGAAGAGAAAGACAAAACCAAATAGAGAGAGGGAGAAAACAGAGTCCCAAATACAGTATGCCACATCATGGCAATTAAAAAGAGAGGATCTGAGAATAGTTGCATTTAAATTATTTGAGTTATTGCCTCTCTT